TTTTAATAAAATTTTGCAAAAGAATTCAAATTCTTTGAAAATTGATTGATACAATTCTTTAAAAGAATTCAATTTTAAGAAACATATGTAATTATTTAATAAATTTTCAATAAATTGTTTGTTTTTTTTGTATTTAAATAATGAAATTCTCGTTGAATTTTCTCATAAAAATTGATTTAAAAATGGATTTCAGTTAAAATTTTAGATTATAATTGAATATTAAAAGTATTAGAGTGTAAAGTTTTAGAAATAATTAAATTTTGAAAAAGTTTCTGATTCAAATCTTTGAAAATTTGAATTTTTCATATTTTTAACTAACAATTCTGTGGAATTAATTTTTTTTTTGAAAAAGTTTAATTGCTGATTTTTTTTATGAACAAAAAGTTTTGAACGTTCAAATGAACGAAATATTTTTTGTTAAAAATATTTTCATAGATTATTGATTACAATTCAAATTAAAAACTCAAATTTTACATTTAGAAACATTATAATTAATTTGCTTAATAGTGACGCAAAATTATAGTAATAAAAATTTAATTTGAAGAAGAAATCAATAAATTTCGTTCATTTGAACGTTCAAAACTTTAACCTCCTTTTTTTTATATTATTTAAAGTTTTTATTTTCTAATACATATTTAATTGAAGAATTTACAAATAATTGAAATTTCGTAAAATTGAATATTGTAAAGAAATGGATTTGAAAATTGTCAAAGAATTTTTTCGAAAATTATTAAAAATAATCGATTTGAAGAAGAATTTTAATTAAAAATTCTTGAAAATAATAATTGAATTGATAATGATTTTATCATTCTATCTTTAATTATTATAAAACATGAATTAATCTATCACTTTGAGTCGAAGACTCGGAGTTATCGATATCTTCATGTTTTTTAGTTATGAAAAAATCTAATTTATAGTTTTAAGTAAAATGTTCTCTTATATATTTTTGTCAGTAATTGGTCCGTAAATGGTCCGTAATTTTTCATTTTTGGTTTGTAAAGTCCGTATTTTTAAATACTTTCACTGGTTCGAGCCCTGTAATTGTGTTTTAATAATTTTATTTTTTAATGAAGTATTTCAAGAAGTACTAGTAGTTGAATTATCTGATTGAAGTTTCCAGTGATGAAAATTCTCAGTAGATGAAGTGCTTGCATCCTCCGTGTAAGTGGTATCATTATCTTCTATCAGCTTTTTTCTATAATTCTTTTTCCTACTTCTTGATCCATTTTCTGATCTTTCCGCCACTGAAGTCGACTCTAACTGGATCACATTTGTGGTACCACGAACATAAAAACGTAGAATTTCTTTTTCCTCCTGTGCAATGTAATTCGGCACATTTAGCATCAAGTTCCCCCTTAATTCGCTTGATAAGATCTGAGCTTCCCTCGGTAAATGTATTTGATATTTTTGAAATTCATATGTGGAAATTTCTCTACTGGATTCAAATTGTGGCGTGAGGATTAAAATTATTGTTCCACATATCAGGAGACATAGGTATATCTGCAATTTTTCTTTTTTTTTTTAATGTTGCAAGTGAAGAAAATTTTAACGAATATTAAATATACTAGCAAAATTATCCGCGAAAAAATTAATTATTTAAAACAATGTTCATCAAATTCTTATGAAGAATTCAATTACTTTCAAAAATAATAAAATTTTTCACAGAAATTCAATTCTTTTTAAACATTTTAATAACATTTTTCGCAACAATTCAATTATTTTCAAAAATAATAAAATATTCTTCTCTGTAATTCAATTATTTTTGAGAATTATAATAAAATTCCTAGCAACTATTCAATTATTTTCATAAATAATAAAATTCATTGCAGGATTTGAATTATTTTTAATACAATTTTACAGAAATTGCTCAAAAAATATAATTATTCTTAAAAACTTAATTTTAATTTCTCGAAAAAATCAATCATTTAAAAAAATGTTTTGCTATTCTTTTTGTAAGAATTGAATAATTATTTTCAAAAATTTAATAAAATTATTCGAAAGAAATTAATTGTTTTAAATGCAACTTTAATTAATTTTTTTTCAAATAATTCAATTATTTTTTTACATTTTAATAAATTTTTTTTTAAGAATTCAATTATTTACACAAATAATTTTTCGAAAGAATTCAATTATGTAGATAAATAAGAAAATTACTCCTGAAAATTCAATTATTTTGAGGTATTTTAATAAAATTCTTTTCAAAATTTAATTATTTTCATAAATAACAATATTCATCACAATAATTCAATTATTTTTAAAAGTAATAAATTTCTTCCTGAAAATTCCATTATTTTAAAAAATTCTAATAAATAGTTCGCAAGAATTCAATTATTTTCATAAATAATAAAATGTCTTTTTTAGGAAAATCCAATTATTTTCAAAAAAATTTAATAAAATTTCCCACAGACATTCAATTATTGACAAATTCTTTAATAGAATTCTTTGTGAAATGTATAATATCATCTTTAAAAACTTTTCGCAATTCAATGATTTTCAATATTTACTATTTTCATTAAATTTCCAAACAGAATTCAATTATTTAAAAAATGGTTTGTAAAAAGTTTTGCAAGAATTCAATTCTTTTCATGAATAATAAAAATTTTCATCAATTCAATTATTTAAATGAGAATTTGCATAAAATTATTCAAAAGAAATGAATTATTTAAAAAATTTTATAAAATTCTTCGCAGGAATTAAATTATTTTTTATATATATTTTAAATTCTTTCATGATTAATTAAATTCGTAGCAGGAATTCAATTTATTAGCAGGATATGAAAAAAGTAAATATTTTTGATGAAAATAAGGAACAGTCAGGAAAATAAAAAAATATGGTAAAATCGTTTTTTTTAAAATAGTGATTAAATAAATTAATTTCATGTTTAAAACCATTTTCTATTAAAAACATATTAGTTTATGTACTCATTAAATTATTTATTAGTTTGCTAATTTGAAAATTACAAGACAGTAAATAATTTTCTAAAATCCATAATTTGATTGCTTCTATTATGTAATGCAACTATGCAAGTTTAATAATTTGCTTCATAATCAAGAAGCGATTTAAACGTTCGTGTGTATATATGCTACTAATAAATTAAATTATGATTGATCGTTAAAATAAATTGAGCTTTAAAACGAACTTAAGAAGAAAGTCGTTTTGAAAGCACTATAAATTCTTTGAGAGAGGGAAAAATTTATAAAAATTGGATCTCATTTATATCAGGAACGAAATTTAAAAGACCGTGTTGATTTACGCATTTTTAAATTTATAAGTTAAATTCTATTTTCAACCTATCAATCAAAGAAAACACGCACGTGGTTTAACAAGGAGAATTTAATTTCCTGAAGTAGGTGGAAATTCGCTAAAAATTAAATTCATCGATAATTACTTTTTATTGATGAAATTGGATAAATTTACAAATACATAGTAATTTACGTGTATGTAGGATTTTATAGCATTTTTTCTATTTGTACCAAAACTTCGGCATCAATAACCTTCTAACTATCCAAATTATTTGTAATAAATTTAATTTTTAATTTTTTTTTTAATTTTTATTTTAGTTATTATCATTATTTTTATTTTTATTATTATTATTATTTCTATTTTTATTATTTATCATTTATTTTTATTTTAATTATTTAAAATTATTTAAAATTATTTTTCCTTATTACTTATTAATTATAAAATTGTTTTTAATTCTATTATTACTAATAATTGTTAAATTTAATTTTTTGGAAAAATATTCTTTTAGTAAAAAAATTCTTAATTACCCTTGTAATTGATTTCATTCCTGAGATTTGTTGAACAGTACCTGAAAATGAGTTCATGATCATCGACCACAATTGTCTGTTGAGGAGGCAAATCGATTCTCTTAAATATAGTAGCGGTGTAGGAAAATGCTTTATATTTTCATCTCTTCTGCAATTTGATATTATTAGTGTTTGCCATGCGCCAAAAGACGTCATCGATATAATTTCAATTTCATATAGATCAAACAGAGGGAGGGGAAAAATTTATAATTTTTTTATTTAGGAACTACATTTTGCTGAGTATTTTTTTTCTCTCCTCTTTTCTTGATAGACTGACATTTGCATATGGGAGTTTTTATAAATACTGAAGTTGACAACTATTGTTCTTGTCATCATTATGACAGAGAGGAGCTTAATTCTAGTAGTGTTTTTAAAACAATTGACAGGTTTTGTTAAAACATAAGGATAATTATCACTTTTATGATGTTCACAGCGTGTCACAGCGTTTCAACGGTTTAGAAAAAAATAAATTCATTATTTAAATATTAAAAATAATCGTCACTACATTTAATTGATAATTTTATAATAGTAATTAATTAATTATATAGATAAATAATAGATGCATAAGATAATAATTAATAATAGATAAATAGATAACATAAATAATTATCAGTAATTAAAATATATAATTGCAGTTTTATCTCGAGAGGAAATAGGAAAAATTCATTTTTCACCAAAATGTCACTTACGTATGTTTTTTCGTTGTAGGTCAGTATTATTTTTGTGCCATTAAGTTTTCTTCTAGTATAATTACTCGCGAGAACTTTTAGTTCAAGGAGTAATAAAGTTAATGGCAAAGTATGATAGTAATCCCCTCCCTCTCTCTCTCTGTAAATTCTTGCAGTGACGTTTCAAATTAATTGCAGTAACCAAAATTTTACATGTAGGTAACATCTTCAATCAATCTTTCGCTTTTCTTTTTCTCGATAATTTTTCCAATTTACGATAAATTTTTTATTTTTGAGTTGAAAGCAAAGTAAAATTTCTCTTGGGAAATTATTTTTTACAAATTTTTTCCTATATTTTAAAAACATTGTTCGATTCATTTCAAAAATTTTTATTTTTGTAATGAAAAATTTTGTTTTCTGTGTAAAAAGAACATTTTAATTCTTAATTATAAAAGTTTAAAAATTTATAATTTAGGTTACTGTTGAAAAATTTATAATTTAGAAGCAGTTCAGAAATTTTTTTGTTAGAATACAATCAAGAGTTCGCTTTAAGATTTAGAATTAAATAATAGGTAATAAATAGGAAGTACATAAAGTTAATTAGTTTGAAATAAATAAATTACTTGATGTGCTTTGTATGTTTAGAGAATAAAAAGAAAATTGAATTCTAGAGGAATAATGGAATTATCTCTTGTACAAATACACAATTCGTTTTGTTGTAATTCTTTTCTCGAATCAAGTTTGGAGTGTTTGTTTGTGAAAACTTTTCTGTACAGTTAATGTCCATTAGAAACATGCAAAGAAACAAATAGTTTTTTTTTTATTTTAGTTGCATATTGGTCCATATGTAGTTCTTCTTATTCGGTTCCTCTCATATTTAGAGGATTCAAATTTCTGATTTAATTTTTTTTTAATGATTTGAAGACATTTTGAAACACTTTGTTTAAATTTTGGATTTTTTTTCAAACTTTTTCTAGCGATATCAAATTAAGACAAAAATCGAATCAACATGTTGCTTTGCAACACTTTTGATTCGTTTTTTGTCTCAATTTGATATCGTTAGTAAAAATGTTTTTGACTTTGTTGTTGTAGTTACTCTTCATATGGTTCTTTTGAATAAAATTGATTAATTGTTTCTGTTTAAATTTGTAGTAATTATAATTTTTTTGTACTTGTACAAAAAATGTTTTGTATTCAAATAATTATTTTTTGTACCAAGATGATTATTTTTATACATGAAATAATTATTCTTTATTGTATTGTAAAATAAGTATTCTTTTTCTATACAAAAGAATAATTATCTTTATACAAAAACAGGGTTGCCTCGAAACCTGGAAATGTCAGGGAATTTTGATCGAAATCCTGGAAAATTGTTGTTTTCTAAAGTTATTGTGTTTATTCTAGAAATCTAATTTCACTTAAATATTTCAAAATTAATTCAATTTTAATAGAATTGGGTTTACAATTTCCATAAGTAGATGAAAAAAAAGATTTTGATTTGAAATTTTGTAATATTTCTGTACTTATACAAAAGTATAATTACTTTTTGTACTGGGTAAGAATTCCTGAAGTGGGCCCCTATTTTTCATTGGGTTATTAACTTTTTATTTTTTGGGGTTAAAAAAAAATTTGTTCTCCATCTTTTTTTGGGATTTTTTTTAAATAATCAAATAGAGAATACTTTTAAGATTTTGTTTCAACAATAAAAAAGTGGGATTCTCTATCACTTTAGAAAATATAATATTTTTAGTTACAAAATTTTTTGAAAAATTAAAGAAATTTGAAGCAAAACAAATGAATGAACTAAACTTGGTTGGTTAAAATTGTCGAGTTTAGTTCATTCATTTGTTTTGCTTCAAATTTCTTTAACTTTTCAAAAAAATTTGTAACTAAAAATATTATATTTTCTAAAGTGATAGAGAATCCCACTTTTTTATTGTTAAAATAAAATCTTAAAAGTATTCTCTATTTCGACGCCCCCCGACTGTAAAATGTTTATTCGAATCTCCGTGCAATAAAATGTTAACTCAGAAATTCGTGCTGTATAATTGTTTTTAAAAATTTCATGCAATATAATGTTAACTCAAGTTGCATTCAATAAAATGTCAATTCAACCACCAGTGCAATACAATGTTATTTAAAATACTAAAATTTTTATTTCCAGCCTTTAAATTGTATGAGGTTAAATTAGATTATTAATTTATTTATTAAATTACTTAAATAGATTGAAGCTGCAACTGTTGACAGCACAATAATATTCGTATAGTTCCTTATTTATGGGTTAAGTTTTTATAAAAAAAGTCAGTAATGCAGAATGGTGAATAAAAGATTATTTTTTTATGGTGAAATATCTGCATAGTTTTCCACTCTTTAGACAAACAGTTTGGTTTTTCTTCAGCAGACCAATTGGTTGAAAAAAAGAGTTATTATATATGTACAGCGTTAAAAACTGCTACAAAATGGAAAACTAAATTCAAAAAGGGACTGTTAAAGTAATTTTAATATTTTTAAATATTTATAATTTTAATAAAAATAGTTTTCAAAGTTAGAATTAAATAAATTTTATTCTTTCATTTTCCTAATTAATTTAGTATAAGTAAAAAATATTTATAACATAACTTTTTCACTTTCGCAAGAAAAATTCACTAATTATGTTAATCTTTAACCTCATATAATTTAAAGGCTAGAAATAAAACTTTTAGTTTTTTCAATAACATTATATTGCACTGGTGGTTGAATTGACATTTTATTGAATGCAACTTGAGTTAACATTATATTGCATGAAATTTTTAAAAACAATTATACAGCACGAATTTCGGAGTTAACATTTTATTGCACGGAGATTTGAATAAACATTTTATAGTCGGGGGGCGTCGATTTGATTATTAAAAAAAAATCCAAAAAAAAGATGGAGAACAAATTTTTTTTTAACCCCAAAAATTGAAAAGTTAATTTATTTAAACAAATTTTATTTTTTAATTAAAATTTTGATCATTTATCTAAAGTACAATTCTTCAGGTAAACTCTTCTCCAATTTTTATTAAAATCGGTTCATCCGATCGCGAGTAATTAGGTATTTACTAAAACGCTACAAATAACTTTGACCTTGAATAACTTTGGTAAATATTCGAATTTCGGAAAACTATTTACAGGTTTTTATTATACCATCATAGGCTATCGAAACATATAAGAATGAGAAAAATCCACCGACCCAATGAAAAATAGGGGCCCACTTCAGGAATTCTTACCCTACTTGTAGAAAAATGATTATAATTTTTATGCAAGTTTTACATTAGACGCTGTTAGACAATGTTCTCACAAATACTGTTTTCGGTTTGTTTTGAGGAATCAGTGGTTGTTCTTTTGATTTTAACAGAAATTGTAATGCAGCATATAGTTTCCTTGAAAGCTGCTCTATAGCGTGTGCTCATGACATTGTATAAAATTGGATTGGCAGCAGTGCTCATATAATATGATAAGCCACTGAGAATAAACAGCTCATCCGATTTATAGTTTGAATAGATGCTATAAATTCTTTGTGTATGAAATGGTGCCCAGCAGACAAAAAACGTTACCACCACTGCACCTGTAAAACAATATTTAAATTAATACTTAATTCAAATTTACTTGAATTAAATTTCACTTAAAATTCATTTGATCTTTTTCTTTAAAAAAGATATTTTTTGTTAAAAAAATTCAAGCATTTTTGATTGTATAAAATAAATTAAGAAAACAAGAAATGGAAGATGGTTAAAAATCGAAAAAATTTAATATTTTATCACTAGAAAAATTTGATTCAAATAATTGATTACATGTTCATTAGCAAATAAATATTTACTTGAATGAAATAATTTTTTATTCAGTCGGTTTTAGCATGATGTTAAATTTTCACGTACAAAGCATTTTAATTATCGATTTTCTGGCCTGTAATTGTTTGGGCTCGAAACTATTCGAATGTTGATCCTCTGAAATTTTGTGATTTGTGCTTCTATGAATTTTCAAACCCATTTTTATGTACAGAATGGTGATTAAAATCATTGGCACTAGGAAGAAGAGAACGAAACTTATTTCCAAATAGGGATATTGAAATCTTCGTGTTGCACATACAGCGGATTTTTCCGATAGTATTATTCTTCCTGAAATTATTAATTATGTGGTTAATAATTAATTTGTTAATTGATTCAATCAAGTTCTTATTTACATCAGTAGTGAATAATAACTTCTGTTATTTAATAAGAAATCCAATTTGATATTTCAACCAATTTAATTGAATTTGAAAACTGTCGCTAAACAATACACTCTAAATTTGAATCAGTGAAATTTCACTGATTATTTACAATATGAATATTCAATTGAAATATGAATTGCGACGAGTTTTTGTTTTTCATGAATAAAAAATGAGAATAAGAAATTTTTTTCTATTTTATCGGTATAAATAATTTATACCGATAAAATAGAAAATGTAATTAACGTTTATTGATTACCATCAGTAATTCACTGATTGAAATTTATCTAGAGTGTACCTTGCCAGTAAAACATGTGTGACACTATAGAATTTAAAGCAGTTGGAATGGCTGTAATGATTCCGCCAAGCCAGCAACAAAAAATCACAATTGTTGGTCTTTTTAAGCCACTTATTCCTTGAAGTCGAAAGGGGTGACAAATAGCGACATACCTTTCTAATGAAAATGCCATTATCGTCAACACAGATACATTACAGGACCTGGAGAAAAAAAGACAATTAAAATTAAACCGCAAGAGCAACTAAAAAGTTATTACATTTTTTTCTTTTTATATACAGACAGTAAAAACTGTCGGAATGCAACTCAGTTTATAAAATTTTATTTATTTTTATTATTATTACTACTATTTAAAATTATTTTTTGTAAAATTTTAACTAATTCTTTAACTAGTTCTTGTTAGACAATATTGAAAGCAAAAAAGATTTCTTACATTTCCAAAATGTAGTGAGAAAGTTTGCAAAAGAATGAACCCAATGGCCATGGGTATCTGTGCCAAGAATCCATGATATCAATTGGCATACCTAAAGTATTTTTCAATAAATATTTTCCATAAGTTTGAAATATTTTATTTTTATATTGTAAATATTTTTTAAATAAATTGCAAAATTTGTTAAAATCGTAATAGGTAAATTAAATTACTCGCAGTAATTACTAATTACACTAAAAAAATATTTGTTTCAAATAACGGATTACTTGTCTAAAAAATAAATATTTACTTGAAGCAAATAATTTTTTTAATTAGTTAAATGGTATTTGCTTCAAATACTGAAATTTGGTTCAAATACAATTTAATTTAATTAAATAAAAATTATTTGATACAATTAAATATTTACTAATGATAGTAGGCAATTAATGACTATAACTGTTAATTATTTTCAAAATTTGAATAAGTAAAAATACTCATTGGAGTTAGTGACTGACTTTTTGCTATTAAAATACTAAATCTTACTGATAAATAGTAATTTCTACTAATTTAAAAAAATAAATTTTTAAATACAGGAACTTCTACTAAATTAGTAAAATTTACTAATTTAAAGGCAAAAACAAAAAGTCAGTCACTAATTCAAATTATAATAAACACTAGCAACACTAACTTCTTACTGCCTTTTTTAAATAAAATTAGCAATTTTAAAAATAATAGAATTTAAAAATTTTCTAATTTAAATTTTTGTTGAAAACACTAAAAAAATTAAATTTTTGAGAAATTACAAATAATTGCAGAAATTCAATTATTAAAAAAAAAAAATTCTTATAAAATTCAACTATGTTTAAAATTTGAAAAAAAATTCTTGTAAAAATCCCAATTATCTTTATAAATAACAAAATTCTTCTCCAAAGATCAATTATTTTCATAAATGTCAAAAAAATTCTTGTCCTAATTTCAATTATTTTCAAAAATATATTTTTTTTTTTTTCTAATTACAATTATTTTCAATATATACTATTTTAATAAAATTTCCCAAAAAGAATTCAATTATTTGAAAAACATTTTGATAAAATTGTATGCAAACATTTAATTGTTTTCACAAATAATAAAAATTCCACAGGAATTCAATTATTTTTATATAAATAATAAAAATTTTTTAAGGAATTCAATTGTTTTCATAAAAAATAATTTAAATTCTAGAAAATAATAATTGAATTAAAATGAGGAAAATAATTTTCTTCATGTTTTATAACAAATTTATTTTATAAGTTGTTTAATTTAAAAAAGGTTTGAATTTAAAATTTTTGAATGTCTTAATTCCTGTGGAATCCTGTTCCAAAAATAAGATTAAAATAAAAATTGTGCAAATATTTTTCTTCTTTTTCTAAAACAAAATAATAATTTTGTTAAAAAAATTGTGATTCATAAACAAAAATAATGCAAAAAAAATAAATTTTCTATTTCTTAATCACAGTTGTTTAACAATTTTCTAATTTTGTTTAGAAGTAAAAAACAAACATCTGCTTAATTTCAATTTGACAAAACATAATATTTAATTTAACAAAATTTTAGTCTTTTAATGAAAAGGAGTGAAAAAAATTTTGATGATTTTTATTTGTTATTACAACTTTGAATTAATTATAAAATAAAAATAATTATAAAATCAATAATAATGAAGTACATGTTGCGGTAATCTGTTCGCAATTTGAAGTTAGTTGTTTGCTTTTTTGTTTCTTAACTTTTTTATAATTTTTCTTTTCAAATATTTTCAATTTTAAAATTAATGTATTAAAAATCATCGAATTGTTGCAAAGAATTTTATCAAAAAATTTGATATTAATAGAATTTCTTCAAAAAATTTTATTAATTAGGAAAATAACTGAATTCTTGCAAGGAATTTTATTAAAATTTTTAAAAATCCTAATTAAATTCTTTTGAAGAATTTCTTTGAATTTTTTTTTAAACTAATGGAGTTTCTTTAATAATTTTAATTGAAAATTTTGAAAACAATTGAATTTTATGAAGAAGAATTTTATTAAAATTGTATTGAAAATAATTGAATTCTTGCGAAGAATTTTACTATTTATAAAAATAATTGAATTGTTCCGAAGAATTTATTAAAATTTTAGAAAATAAATAAATTTTATGTTAATATTTGAAAATTTAAAATCTTTCGAGGAATTTTATTAAAATTCCTTTGAAAAGTATTGAATTTCTGGAAAGGTTTACTATATTTATAAAAATAATTGAAATGTTTCGAAGAATTTATTAAAATTTTAAGAAATAATTAAATTATTATGAAGAATTTTATATAGAAATATTTAAAAATAATGAAATATTTTCCAGAAATTAATTTAAAGTTGTTTCAAAAATAATTGAATTTCTTAAAAGAATTTTATTAAAATTAAGTATATTCAAAATAATTGAATTCGTCAGAAAAATTTTATTATTTTTTGAAAATAATTGAATTCGTCAGAAGAATTTTATTATTTTTTTGAAAATAATTGAATTCTTTTAATGTTTTTGACGAATATATTTAAAAATTCCGTTGAAAGTAATTTACTTCTTATATAGAATTTTTTTAAAATATTTTGAGAATATTTGAATTATTTTTAGAAAATTTTTAATTCTTGTTGAAATTCAATTTTATGGAAATTTTTGAAAATAATTAAATTCTTTCATGTAATTTTATTTAAATTGAATTAAAAATTATTTAATTCCTGTAAAGAATTTTAGTATTTCTAAAAATAATTGAATTGTTCCGAAGAATTTATTAAAATTTTAGGAAATAATTGAAATTTATGGAAATATTTAAAAATATTTGAATTCATCCGAGGAATTCAATTAAAATTGTTTTGAAAATAATTGAATTCCTGCAAAGAATTTTACTTTTTATAAAATTAATTGAATTCTTGCGAAGAATTTTACTATTTATAAAAATAATATTTAACAAAATTTTAGTCTTTTAATGAAAAGAAGTGAAAAAAATTCTGATGATTTCTATTTATCATTAGAATTTTGAATTAATTATAAAATAAAAATAAATATATAACATAATAATATAATATACAATCTATCTAAAGTTGACAAAAAACAAAACAACTTCAGAGTGTGAAGGACAGAAAAAGTGAATGAATGAAAGAACATTCAAATTATTATAGTTAATTTTTATTAATGGAAAATTTAAAGAGTAAGGATATTATTTAAATATTTATTTTTTGATTAATTAATTTATAAATTTATTTTTATATTATTTACCTATTATTAATAAGAGTAAATCAGACACGGCTAGACTGAAGAGATAATAGTTGGTGACATTTTGCATTGATGAATTTTTAATTGTCACCATGCATGTCGCCAAGTTTCCAACGACGCCGATAAAAAATATAATTATATAAATTAAATTTAAAGGCACTGCTATAATTAATGGTAATCGTTGTGGACCAAGAGCGCTATTAAGTAACTCGAGTTCTGAAATATCTTCCATTTCTAATTCAAAATTAAAATATGCAAAATTCTAAATGAACTTTTAATTTTATCATTTGAAGAGGAGAATTTTCTTTTAAGAAAAACGTTCTTTATAAAACATTATCATTGTGAAAGTTTTCGTCGCACTTAATTTGAAACAATTATTAACATCGTGCAATCTTGAAAATTTTTATAATTACTCAATTATTATTATTATTATTATTATTATTATTATTATTATTATTATTATTATTATTATTATTAATAATATTTTTGTTAATATTATTATTTCTATTTTTATTATTTAGTTTTTATTAATATTATTTTTTATTATTATATTTCTCTCATTTATTTCTTTATTTTAAATATAAACGGGACTTGTCCTTTTGTTAATTATTGCTTTAATTGTTATAATAAATTATTCTTTTTATTATTATTTCTGTTATTTATTTCTTTATTTCAATACAAACGGGACTTGTCCTTTGTTAATTATTGCTATAATTATTGTAATAAATTATTATTTTTCACTTTTTTAATAATATTATTATTATTATTTTGATTTTATTTATACTGTATTGCTATTATATTAGCATTTACATTTTTTATTTAATATTATTTAAATATTCAATTAACGTTTTTAAAAATTATTATTCGTCACAATGAAAGACACTTGAATCAGAGAGAGAGAGAGTTTGAAATTATTATAAATATTAATAATGAGCATTATCACTGACACTGTGAAATCACTTACTGACTGGGAAAATACAACGATTGGTCAATATAGCGAGTTCTGTTTAAATCATTTGAGTGTTGAATACAAAATCAGTTCTAACATCCGTTTAGATTAGAAAAAGGGAAGTCTAATCATTTTTTTTCGATTATTTTAAATCAAAATTGCATTAATTTCTTTATTATGTGTTTGAATAATAATTATAATGAAAGAAGAATTAACTCTTAATTTGCTGTAAGCAATAATTGAAATTTATGTTTTAACATTATTTACACTATTTTTACTATTTAGTCTGCACTTCAAAGTTGCACATTCAACTAAATGCTATGAGAATTCTATTAATATAACTAAAGCATTTACGTGAAGATATGTATTTTATTTTCGGATGTGTGTCCAATAATGTGAGGGAAATTAATTTAAATATAAATTTATTTTCTTTTATTATTTTGTTTTCTGTGTCGTTTCCTATTTTTTATAGTTTCGTTTTTTGTCTAATTTTGTTTTTTGTTTATTGTTTCTTCCGAAATTTTTAAGGTCATGTCTGAGACAAGCATCGTTGTCACATTGTGATTGATGGAAAATTTATTTTGGCACAACTTGTAATCGAATGAAATAAGATTTTGTTTTGAAATTATAAAGAACAAGAACTTTGTTAGACAAGATTTTTGATTTTTTCGTTTTATTCGGTTTTTTTTTTGAGAAAAAATTTCTTCTTAACGAGAAAATAAATAAACGTCAATTTTTATTTTTCAATAAACTTTTTCCAAATTATAGAAATCTAATTTATCATTTAATTTATCAACGATAAATAATAATAGATATCTAATTTATCATCTCGATAATGTAACTCTTTAAATTGGAAAGTAATTATCTTTTTGAACGTGGATTTGAGAATTATTAATTTTTAGCATCCGTGTGATGACTTTGCAGTAATGTCGAACATTAAATTAATTTACTTTTAGCCTAAACTTCATAAATTTAATATTTAAATAAAATAAAATTAAATAAAATTAAATAATTAAAATAAATTAAATGAAATATAATTAAAATATTAAGTAAATAAATATAACAGAAAAGGTTTTACACTGGTAGAAATGAACAATAAATAAAAATATTCTTTTTATAAATAGAAATTTTTATATTTAAATAATATTTATATTTACATAATACAATAAAATTAAACAATAACATTATGTACAGTAGAACTAAAGAAAATTTTTTCCTATAAACGAACAATATACAAAAACAAAAGAAAAACTATTAACAATCGTAAAAACTTTGATCATAGAAAACTGTTGGTAACATTTTCCGTAACTTGATCTTTCGATTCGGAACACTCATTACTTGTTTGCATTTTTACTGAAGAATGACGAGTTTTATCGAGAAGGGCTCGAGTTGAATGATTATCGGAATATAATAAATTACTCTTCCTTGAATTTCCTTTGGTATCGAAAGCATTATTCTTATTATCAGATTCTTGATCCAGATTCGAGAGGAACATTTCTTTCGCCTGATTGATTGAATGTCTGCAAAAAAAAGTTAATGAATTTTTGCTTTAAAAAGTTTTCCCTTTAGATATAGTAGAAAAGACTTATTATTTTCCGATTCATTTATGTTTCTCTTTATATTACACACTTTCTATGTGTGGCTCGTAATTAATTAATTAGCATGACCTAATTAATCTTTACTTTTACATTTTTAATGAAAAAAAAGAAATGTTTTTTTAAAGTCATTTTTTTATATGAGATACTGCTTTTTCTTTTTTTTTTAGAAAGGATATGTAAGAGAGAGACTAGAGAAAATGTTTTTTTTTTGAAAATAGAAGTGATAATAATTTTTTGTTTTTGGGAAAAATTAGAAGTGACACTACACGTTTTTTTGACTCTCTGGCGACAAATTATTATAAAGGGGGAGGATAATATATTTTATAGACTTTCATGTGCACGCTCGTTAAATTTATGCAACTACAAGTGCTTTTCCTATCCAATAAGTCTGAATTGCATGCGACAAAATAAGGTCCTTTTATTATAAATTGAAACGTAAAATAATTTGAATTTATATTCAAAAGGTTTAATTGTTTATATAAAAACAAATTTTGGCGTTTTTGGTTTTCTAATTCAGTGCCAACGATTTTTCAACGAATTCTAAAAAATATCATTATGTACTTTATTTCGTTTGTGAGAGAATTTTCATGCCATCTAGACGGCAATTTAGAGAACTTTTAGGCGCGAAATTCAAAAAAAGAAAAAATTAATATTAATTTGCTAAATAATAAATTATTTTAAAAAATTAAATAAATAGTAATAATATAAATACCGGAGGAAAAATGAATTGCGGATGATTGATGTTTAATTTCTCACCTGAAAGATGATTGAATGTTTGATGTACGTTTCGTTTGATCAGAATTCAATCGCGAAGTATTAATCTTTGAGAAATTGGAAAGTCCTTGTTTTTTATCGCCTTTACAACAAAGTGTTTCCTTGAACGCTTTTCTATAACGTGAACTCATAAGATTGTACAAAATTGGATTTATTGTTGTACTGAAATAATACAAAAATCCACTAAATATATATAAAAATTCATTTAAATCCGGATAGTAATCTGCATTCGCCCCGTAAATATAAAATAGTCTCTGCGTGTGAAATGGCGCCCAACAAATAAAAAATAATACCACAACAGCACCTGAAAACAAAAAAACAAAAAATATATTCAAAAAAATGTATTTTCGCAATAATATGTTTAACAAAATTTTTTGCAAATAATTTTATCTCTTTTCTCAATGCAAAATGCGCAAAACTTTTGCAATAAAAGATAGCGTAATGCTATCTCTATCACAGTATCAGTTTTCAATAATAAAAAAAAATACAGACACACTTACTTAGCATTCTGATGATACTCTTTCTGGATTGAAATTGTTTTGATTCGGTGTGAACGGAATTCTGATTGAAAATAGGCCCGAGGGAATTTCTGGCGCTCTTGTGGATTTTTAAGCCCATTCTCACGTATAGAATGAAAATTATTATCATTGGTATGAGAAAGAATATTAGGCAGCTCATTTCGTAGAGTGGATAATGAGGCATGTCCGGTAGGAGCATTGCGCAAATTGCCGAATCTTTTGATTCGTTTCCTGATTCTGAAATGTGGAATTTATAAAATTTTATTGGTAAAAAATAAAAGTGAACTTTTTAGTAATTAAAAGAAATTTGTATTAATTTTTGAACTTTCTAGATTCGATTATAGTTATAGAATTACGAATATTGACGAATATCTTGAGATTCAATATGGAGACGCTATTCTCCACTTGCGAACGTCAAGGTCACCGCTAGATGGCAGTTCAGTTTCCAGGAAAACGCCACCATGCCACCTGGTGATGACCTAGGCGTTCTCAAGTGGAGAAATTCATTTTATCTCTTACACAATTTTTTAAGATATTAATAATTGTTGTATTCCGATAATCTGTTCGCAGTTTGAAGATAGTTGTTGTTTGCTTTTTTGTTTCTTAACTTTTTTAATAATTTTTCTTCTTAAATATTTTCACTTTTTAAATTAATATTATGAAAATCATTGAATTGTTGCAAAGAAGTTGCAAAGAATTTTATCAAAAAATTTGATAGTAATAGAATTTCTTCGAGGAATTTTATTATTTAGGAAAATAATTCAATTCTTGCAAAGAATTTTGTTAAAATTTTTGAAAATTCTTATTAAATTCTTTTTCAAGAATTTCTTTGAATTTTTCTTTAAATAATGAAGTTTCTTTAATTTTGAAAATAATTGAATTTTATGAACGATTTCTTTCAAGTTTTTAAAATAATCGTGTTTGTTAATAATATTGAAATTAAACATTTAATTATTGAATTTTATTAAAATTTTAGAAAATAATTGAATTCATTTGAAAAATTTTATAGGAAATTAAGAAAAAAAAATTGAATTCTTTCGTGGAATTTTTTTGAAAATAATTGTATTTTTGCAAGGAATTTTACTATTTATAAATATATTGAATTTTTTCTAAGAATTTATTAAAATTTTGGAAAATAATTGAATTATATTGAAATTTTTTATACTGAATTAAGAAAAAAATTGAATTATTTCGTGAAATTTGTTTGAAAATAATTGAATTCTTGATAAGAATAATTTACAATTTTTAAAAATAATTGAATTGTTTCGAAGACTTTATTAAAATTTTGAAAAATAATTGAATTCTATTGAAATTTTTTATACTGAATTAAGAAAAAAATTGAATTATTTCGTGAAATTTGTTTGAAAATAATTGAATTCTTGATAAGAACAATTTATAATTTTTAAAAATAATTGAATTGTTTCGAAAGATTTATTAAATTATTCTTTCATGAATTTTTATTAAAATTGTATAAAAAATAATTCAATTTTTGCAAAGAATGTTACTTTTTAAAAATAATTGAATTGTTTCGAAAGATTTATTAAAATTTTTAAAAATATAATTGAATTTTTTCGAAAAAAAAAAATTGAATTCTTTTATGAAATTCTATTAAAATTGTAGGGGAGTATAGTCGAGGTTGGACCACTGTCTAGGTAGGCCATTCACGTTTTTTTGTCAAGTTTACTAGCGCCACCTACGTGCATGCTTGTCGAAGCTTGTCTTAGTAAAACCTAACTTTTTGTTCAATTACATTTTCGGAGAATCGAAAATTGTGTTTTCTGTGACGTCGGTACAAAAAAAAGCTCAAAAAAAGTTTTGTGCATCATGTGAAAAATCATTAATAAAAGTTAAAAAAAAATTGAATCGTGAAGGCAAGCATGCAGAAATTTTGTGGAACTCATTGTTGAAAGAAAATCAAAGTGAAAAATCGAATCCCGAAACGTATTTCTTTTTGGTTACAACAATTCGGTAATGTTACTTTCTGTCAAGGTCGGCCACTTTGTGTTTAAAATGCGCAAATATGAGGACGAGCTGCTTCATTTGCAAAAACTGCAATTCTGTATAACTCATAATATAATTGATCATCTTATTAATATTTTTATTTAATTTTATTAATATTTCAGTGCAAACCCAAGTAGCAAGTAATATTGGGAACATTCCAGCAATATGCCACAACATTGAGGCAATATTGGTAATGTTAAGGCAATGTTCCCAATATCGCTGTAATATTACGTGCTACTGGGGAAATTTTTTTTTATTTATATTTATTTTTTTATATTGTTTATTTTTATTATTTTATTATTTCATTAAGTTACAAACTGTAAACAATAAAGAATCAATTTTCCGTAACTGCAAACATGTTATTTTATTTTTTAACGATTAATGCCCTTTGAATTTTAAACATGGCCGACCTTGACTGTAAGGACCAACCTGGACTACAAATTTTTTTTTTTTTAATCTTTATAACTTTTTCATTTTAAAACCAATCAATTTACTTTGTACAGAAAAGATGTTCCTATTAAACAGGACTTTCCAACCATATACTTCAATTGTCCAAATTCATTTTTAAAAAAAAGTTATAAACAAAAGTCAAAAAGTGGGCCGACCTCGACTATGTTCCCCTACAAAAAATAATTGAATTTTTGCAAAGAATTTTACTTTTTATAAAAAAATAATTGAATTATTTCGAAGGATTTTTAAAAATTTAAAAAAAAACTGATTTTTTTAGATATTTTATAACGGATTAAAAAAATGAATTCTTTCGTGAAATTTTTTGAAAATAATTGAATTTTGGCAAAGATTTTATAAAGAACTAAAGAAAATTCAAATCTTTCGTGGAATTTTTTTGAAAATAATTTTATTTTTGCCAAGATTTTACTATTTAAAAAAATAATTGAATTGTTTTGAAGGATTTATTAAAATTTTAAAAAATAATTGCATTTGTTCATGAAATTTTATTAAAATTATATTAAAATTAATTGAATTTTTGCAAAGAATTTTACTTTTTATAAATACAATTGAATTGTTTCGTAGGATTTATTAAAATTTTTTTAAATATATCTGAATTCTTTTGCACTGAAAAAAAATTTTAATTGATTCAAATAACCGATTAATTGAGTATTATCAATTAAATATTTAATTGACTCATATAATATTTATTGGAGTCAATTAACTGATATTTGCTTTAAATACTGAAATTGTTGGTTCAAATACCATATAATTGACTCCAATAGATATTATTTGATTCAAGTAAATATTTAATTGATAATTGTCAATTAATCGGTTATTTGAAAATGACCGGGAACGATTTAAATCAATTAAATTTTTTTTCAGTGTGATATATTTTATAACGAATTAAAAAAAATTAATTCTTTGTGAAATTTTTTGAAAATTGAATTTTGGCAAAGATTTTATAACGAACTAAAAAAATTGAAATCTTTCGTGAATTTTTTTTTGAAAATAATTCAATTTTTGCAAAGATTTTACTATTTAAAAAATAATTCAATTGTTTCGAAGAATTTATTAAATTTTTAAAAAATAATTGTATTTGTTCGTGAAATTTTATTAAAATTTTTTTTTTAAATAATTGAATTCTAACGAAGAATTTCATTATTTAGGAAAATAATTGAATTCCCGACAAGAATTTTTTTTAAATTTTTGAAATTTATAAACAAGAGTAATTAATTAGTAAATTAGTTAATAATTGAAGTTTTTTAAATTTTGAATCTAAAATTATTCAAAAATTCATATTTGAAAATAAAAAATTTTGTAATTTGCATAATAATAACAAATTGAATATCAAGTTCCGCGCTCTATCGCGCAACATTTGCTAGTTATTAATAATTAATAAAATGAAAAAAATGTTATTGTGAAAATAATTTAATTTTTAAATAAAAAATTTTAATTTACTTTTAATTAAAAATTTGTTATTAACATTAACCGTCTGTCTACGCGAACTTATCCCCACTCTAGTGCTTTTGAACTTGCGTAGACAGAAGGTTAATTTTAATTTGGAGGTAAATTAAAATATTTTATTAACATTAATTTTAAATTATATATAAGTATAAATTAATAATTTCTAATTAACTTGTAATTTGAAAAAATTTGAATACTGTGGGAGAAAAAGATTATTTTCATGTGTCAACGCGAATATAGTGAGGGAAAACAATAAAATTCTTACTCGGGGGATATTCCACGTAATTAAGTTTCGAATAAATGATAAATGGAATAGCTGATATCATGGCAATTGACCAAGAGCCCAAAATAAAACTAATTGGACGTTTTAATCCACTCATCGCGTTTACACGAAAGGGATGACAAATCGCTAAATATCGTTCCATTGAGAATGCGACTATTGTCAATACGGATACATAAGAGGACCTGAAACATAAATTTTTTTGATAAAAAATATTTCTATAAATTGAATTTTTTTATTTATTTTTTATTTGTAAAAAAAGCTTACATTTCTGAAACGTAGGCTCTTATTTTGCATACAGTGAGTCCGAAAACCCATGGATATTGCTGCCAAAAGACGCTTATTTCATTCGGAAGACCTATAAGAATAAAATATTTTTATTTAGAATTTTTTTTATTGTTTTTAAAGCCTTGTAAAAATATTTAATTTAATAAATGACGGGAGTAAAACTATTTAATAAAAATATTATTATTTAATATTTTATTAATATTTTCAATTATAATATTATTCTATTAAAATTATTAATTATTATTTATTTATTTATTTCCAAGTTTAACGTTAATTATATTAACATTATTTTTTTTTCTTTGTTTAAATGGCCTCTGATCTCAGATAATTATATTGTAACAATTTTTGAACTAAACATGTCTAAACAATTCCATTGGATAATAAATAACTTAGTGGAATTTGTTTATAACAAGGGAAAGTTAAGACAAGACAGTGGCAATAGGGGGAATTAATTTTCTCTAAGACAATTTACGGGCGTCTTATGGGTAATTAGTGACAAGGATTAGACTACAGTATTAAGAGAATTAGCGACTATTTACATCACATCGTAAATAAAATTTCTTTTTAATCCAGTTCTCAATTGCCAAATATTGTATTTGTATTTATCTATTTATTTTTTTTATTATAATTATACTTATTTATTTATTTTTAATTATTATAACTACTCTTTAAATTCGAATTAGTAAAAATCTTTGCTAATTTGACTTTTTGCTTTTTGAATTAGTAAATTTTACTAATAAATAGTCATTGCAACTAATTTATTAGTAAATTTTACTAATTCTAAAAAGAAATACTTTTTACTAAAAAACTACTAAAAACTAGTAAAATACTAATTCATAAATTTTACTAATTCTAAAAAGAAATACTTTTTAGCAAAAAACTACTAAAAAAATAGTAAAATACTAATTAGTAAATTTTACTAATAAATAGTAATTTCTACTAATATTTATTTAATATTTAGTTTACTAATTCTAAAAAGAAATACTTTTTACTTAAAAAACTACTAAAAAATAATAAAATACGAAGCAGTAAATTTTGATAATAAATAGTAATTTCTACTAATTTATTTAATTAGTAAACTTTACTAATTCAAAAGTAAAAGTTCAATCACCAATTCAAATTAGAAAACATTTTTATTTTTAGGTACTAATTCTAATTTAGAGCGTAGGTAGTTAATTATTTTTATATATTCTAACTAATTATATTTATTTATTTATTCCTAATTATTACTAATTATTGCAATAAATTACAAGGCTATCGTCATTTGTGTGATAAGAAAATTATTGGTAAAAAATAATGAGAATTATATTAATTAATATATATTTGAAGTTATTAATTTTTATTAGTGTTTAGAAATGGAAGAGAAATCAGTTCACGTGCTTGCATTGAAAAAAATAGCGAAATTTCTTATAATACGATTATTTTTTGTCGTTAATAAATCTTTTCGGGTAGATGGTACTTGAACTTAATTGCTTTCAAGTTAATTACATTTTTGTCGTTATCACTCTAGTGTCTTTGGGCCATTAACGACCGAGCCAGAACCAAAATCTGTTGATCAAAGCACGTAAATTTTCTCAATCTCAATTGTTCTAAATATTTTTATACGATCGATTTCTCTTTATCTTTCTCTTTCTTTTTTATTGTTCGTTATTTTTTATCAGTTTTATTGTTCGCTATTTATTTTATTTTATTTTATTTTATTTAAGCAAATAAGAGCTTACGAGAAAAAGTAAAAATTACCTTTTGTATTTTTTAGCTATTTTCTACTAATAATAATTAGTTAGATTTTACTAATTGCTGAAGTAGAAAGAAAGCTAATATTTGATTAATAATTAGTTATTTTAAACTAATTCAGATTTAGAAAGTTTGCTCAAAATCAAATAAAATTATATCTCTCTCAAAATTGGAATTAGAAAAAATGTTTACTAATTTGATTTAGTGCCTGACTTTTTGCTCCTGAATTAGTGAATTTTACTGGTTAATAGTAATTTCTACTAATTTATTAGTAAATTTTAATAATTCAAAATCAAAACGCCGGGCACTAATTCAAATTAGTAAATATTTTAACTAATTCAAATTTTGGGGGAACTATAATTAGTAAATTAGTAGAAATTACTATTTATTAGTAAAATTTACTAATTAAAAATCAAAACGCCAGTCATTAAATCAAATTAGTAAACATTTAAACTGATTACAATTTTGAAAGAAATATAATTAGTAAATGTTACTAATAAATTAGTAGATATTACCAATTATTAGTAAAATTGTAAAATTTACTAATTCAAAATCAAAAAATCAGTCACTAATTCAAATTAGTAGACTTCTACTAATGAATTAGTAGAAGTAACTATTTATTAGTAAAATTTACTAATTAAAAGACAAAATGTCAGCTACTCAAATTAGTAAACATTTTTACTAATTCACATTCAGAGTTGGTTTAAATTAAATGTTTCTCTGGATGCAAATTTTTTTTCGAAGAAAAATCACTTTTTATGAGGAGGGAAAAAAAATTGTTATTTAAAAAAAAGAGGGAGAGATGATAAGAAGCGAAGATTTAACAATTTGATATATACACGTGTGGCTATTATATCATTATCCCTGTATTTTTTAATTAAAAAAAAAGAAAATAATAATAATTCTCATTTTAACATCTCCATCAATGTTGACACGTCTACTGACGCAAATTCCTACGACATTTTAAATCCAATAAACAGATTCAACTGAGAAAACTCTCGACACCTATCGTAAATTTACACGAAGATTAATTTAAAGCTCGTTATCTTCTTCTAATAGTCAGAAGTCATTTTTCAACACAGCACCAGTGCTTTTCCCCTAATTACTGTAATTGATTGCAAATATTGAAAGCAACATTTTTTTTTACCTCTCATTATTTATTACGAAATGTTATAAAAATAATTATCATCATTTATTTCAAATAAATAACAAATAAATAAATTGACTTTTTGGAATAATTTGCATATTATTTAAATACTTTTATTATTTATTTATTTGTTATTAATATTTATTATTATTAAATACTATTAATATTTATTAAAAAAATTAAATATTAGAAACAAATTTAAATATTAAAAAAAAGTGTGTGTACTTTTTTAATTACTTTATCACTTTCTATTGGATGGATGTTATTTTAATTAAAATTCTTATTTAATTAAACACCGACCTTATATATATGTATAAATTCACATTCAGGACAAATTTTAATTACTTGCACTTACATGAGGATTTAAAATCAATTATACTGTGCTATTTCGTTGGAATTTTGATATTATGATAGTTAATAAGTTTTTTTTGATTGACAAGAAAAAAAGAGGGGAGTGGAGGGAATAATTGTTGAAAATTTCATTTTTTAATTAAATAAGGGAAATTAGAATATCTTGTTCATCAATATATGTTATCTGTGGAATTTGTTGAATTTCTTATTCTTCTTCTCTTTTTTTTTCTTCTTGAACTCACCGAGAACAAGTAGAATAAGGTCGGATATGGCGAGACTGAAGAGGTAGTAGTTGGTTGCATTCTGCATTGAGGAATTTTTAATAATTACCATGCAGGTCGTTATATTTCCAAAAATTCCAGTGATAAAAATTATTAAATACGCGACAGTTAATGGCACTGCAATGTTTAATGGTAAATTTTTTGGACCTAGAACTCTATTTAAATAATCGACTTCTGTGAGATTCTCTAATCGTAAATTGTCCCAAAAATCCTCCAAATCTTCTTCTGTTGTTGACTCCATTATTTTTTTTGTTTTTTGAGTTCTCTTTTTCCTTTGTTGTCTTTGGGAATATTTTATGGTTTTTGGCTTGAAAGAAAAAAATTAAGATTTATGAAAAATAAAACTTTGGTTAATTTAATTAATTAATTAATTGATTAAATAATTCAATTTTAAGTGAGAAAAATCTATTTTCAATTTAATATTTATTTATTCATTTATTTATTTCGTCAATTTATTTATTTAATATTAACCCGTTTACAAATAAAGGAAAATATTTTAATTCAAATATATTACAATTTTTTTATTGTTTAAAAAAATATTTTACTTTCAATTTTAAAAAATAAAAATGTACTTTCAGTTTAGAAAAAAAATTTACTTTCAATTTTAAAAAGATAAAAAATGTGTTTTCAATTTGAAGACAATAATAATTATTTGGAATTAAAATAATAATTTAAATTCAATTTAAAAAAAATTTACTTTCAGTTAAAAAATAATAATTCACTTTCAATTTAAAAAAATTATTTGCTTTCAATTTCAAAAAGATAAAAATACATTTTCAATTTAAAAAGAATAAAATTAAACATTCAATTTTAGAAAATAGGAATCTAGTTTCAATTAAAAGAAATAATTTACTCTCAATTTTAAAAACGTAGATATTTATTTCCAATTTAAAAGCAATAAAAATCTACTTTAAATTAAAAAAAAATAATTTATATTCAATTTTAAAAAATAAAAATTTACTTTCTAAAATAAAATTCACTTTCAATTGTAAAAAGATAAAAATCTATAATTTCAATTTGAAAACAATAAAAATCAACTTTCAGTTTTAAAGAAATAATTTACATTCAATTTTAAAAAAATAAAAATCTACTTTTATCATAAAAAAAATAATCTACTTTTAATTAAATATTATTAATTTACTTCCAATTGTAAAAAGATAAAAATCTATTTTCAGTTTGAAAACAATAAAAATCATCTTTCAGTTTTAGAGAAATAATTTACATTCAATTTTAAAAAATAAAAATCTACTTTCAATTTAGAAAAAAAATCTACTTTTATTATAAAAAAAATAATCTACTTTTAATTAAAAAAATAATTCACTCCTAATTTTAAGAAAAGAAATTCTATTTTAAATTTTAAAATAAGGAAAATCTACCTTCAATTGAAAAAATTTTTATGTTTGTCTGTAAAACAATTTTTTAAAAAAATAAATTAAATTTTTTTTTAATAATATCAAATTAATTGAAATTTTCCAATTGACTTTTAAATAATCAGAGCGAATTTTCGAATGAACGAATAGTTAATATTCAAGGAAACTTAAATCATTTTGACCTGAGTAACTGCAGAAACTAGATATTGAAAGTGTTCGACTGTAGTTTAATGCGAAAAGGAATAGAAAAAAAATTAATCAAAATTAATTAGTTCGGACGGAATTAAATTTTTAAATGATGAATTTCAATCGAAATGATTTTTTTTTAAATGTAAATTATTCTCTAAAAAAATTAATTAAAAATAAAATTAATTTAAGAAAAAAAATTAAATTTTCAAAAATTAATAATTAATAAAATTATAAAACATAATTAAAAAATAAAATTATTATTTTAGTCTACTGAGGACTTGAATTTTAATAATTTATATGTACAGTCTGTTAAAGAAAATTATGTATTTACATTTTTGAAAAAAATTAAAATTTTTTGCAATCACTTCTATAAATCTGTTAATTAGATAAGATTTTTTTAAGTCTCCATATATATGTTCGAAATAATAATCTCAGATAAGAAATGATAAGAGACTCACTACCATTTGATATTTATTAACAATTAGCACTTCATTTGTTGATTTATAACAATTAAAAATTCCCTCTCACCTCTTCTTGTCTCTCATCTTAATTAATTTTTTTCACATTATTAACTTTCATATTTTATTTTCTCTTTTGAATTTTTTTTTCTAATTTTTGGATATTTTAATGATAGAATAATTTTTGTATAAATATTCTTTTTTATAAATATAATATGTATTTTTATTTATTTTTAATTTTTTTGATAATTTAACTGCCAATAAAATAATTAATCTCCAATTATTTTTAATTTCATTTAATTTAACTATAAATCTGAATATGTGAAATTTCACTTATCTCTAATTATTATTATTTTATAGAGAAAATATTTAATAAAAAAGTAATTTATATTCAATTTAAAAAAATAAAAATCTACTTTCAATTAAAATAAAATTTACTTTCAATAATTGTAAAAAGATAAAAATCTATTTTCAATTTTAAAAATTGAATAATAAAGTAATAATTAATAAAATATTTTTGATACTATCTTCAATCGGTAATAATTTAAATTTTCCTCGATTATTCAAAATAGAAAAATTCTAAAATTAAATGTTAAATTAAATGTTCTCAAAAATGATTGAAAAAAATAATTGAAAAAGAAAACTTAAATTCTGTTTTCTGAAGGAGAAATTGATGAAAATGATGAAAATTGTTTTTTAAAAAGGAAAAAGTATGTTAAAATGTAAATTCGGCACCATTGAAAAAGAAAAAGAAAAAAAATTTTGTTCTTTGAAATTAAGAACATAAATCAAAGAATAATAAATTCAAACTCACTTGTGTCTGGAGAAAGAATTCTCTTTCACCTTTTGGAGTTTTATAAACTCTCCAAACGTCACCGTTTTCCAATCCAAGAATAAATTACTTTTCCTAGTTCAGCTATCAACCCTCTTTTTCGAGATATAGAATAAAAAACGATCTGCGATACGTCAGAATGTCCATCCTCCATTGAAGAAACTGTTGATTAGAGTTTCATTTGAAAAACACAAATTCTTCTGATTCTATAGATCCTCGGAAAATTAATGCACTTCACTATTCAATTTTCCAAAACTAACACTCAATGATAAGAGCTGAGAACGATTCGTTATTGAATCTCGTTTCTCCGGGAGAAATATTTTTATTATTATTATTATTATTATTATTATTATTATTAAAATTCTTATTATTACTATTCTTATTGTTATTCTTTTTCGTATTAGTGTTGTTATTATTTTTCTTATTATTATTAGTATTAATACTAATAATATTAGTGTTAGTGTAAGTAATAGTGTTTGTATTAGAGTCAGTGATAGTGTTTGTATTAGTATTAGCGTTAGTGACAGTGAAAGTGTTAGTATTAGTGTTAGTGTCAGTGACAGTGTTTGTATTAGTATTAGCGTTAATGACAGTGATAGTGTTAGTGTCAATGATAGTGTTTGTATTATTAGCGTTAGTGACAGTGGTAGTGTTAGTGTCAGTAATAGTGTTTGTATTAGTGTCCGTAATAGTGTTTGTATTAGTATTAGCGTTAGTGACAGTGATAGTGTTCTCATTAGTATTAGTATTAACGTTAGTGATAGTGTTTGTAATACTATTAGCGTTAGTGTTTTTATTGGTATTAGTGTCAGTTATAGTGTTAGTGTCAGTGATAGTTTTTGCATTAGTATTGGTGTTAGTATTAATATTAGTGTTAGTATTAATATTAGTGTTAGTATTAATATTAGTGTTAGTATTAATATTAGTGTTAGTATTAATATTAGTGTCAGCGATAGTGATAGTGTTAGTATCAGCGATAGTGATAGTTTTACTATTTTTATTAATAACAAAGAAAAACATTTTACGTATTTACATATTTCGAGACTGTATTTTGGAAATTTTTCATAAATTCCCCCTTATGAGTGACACAAAACTTATAATAATTAATTGTAGAATTTATTTGACTTTCGAGCAGACTCTCTTCTGTATTCAATACTGACTGAGAGGTGGTACCATCGTGTCTCGTGGAACAACTCTCGCAGAGACTTCTTTGATAAGAACAAAGGTGAATGATGGAATTTCAAAAGCAAGGATATTGTTGATGTCAAATTTTTATTGTGCCCAACATAAACTTTGTTGATCTTTCTTGTTTATTTTCGAAAATTGAAAGAAAATTATTTTCCACTTCTTTAAACTTTTCCGTAATTTCACTGGAAAATTTATTTTTTAATTGATTCAAATAAACAATTACTTTTCGGTTATGAAAATAAATATTTATTTGTGTCTAATAATTTTTATTTGAGTCAAATAATTTTTATTTAAAGTCAAATAATTTTTATTTGAGTCAAATACTTTTTATTTAAGTCAAATAATTTTTATTTGAGTCAAATACTTTTTATTTAAGTCAAATAATTTTCATTTAAGTTAAATAATTTTCAGTTTAGTCGGATAATTTTCATTTTAGTCACATAATCTTTATTTAAGTAAAATAATTTTCATTTGAGTCAATTAAATGGTATTTGCCACAAATACTGAAATTGTAGATTCAAATAAAATTTGTTTGATTTAAATAAAAATTAGTTGATTCAAGTTAATATTTATTTGATAATAGACAAATAATTGTTTATTTGAATCAAGTAAATTTTTTTTTCAGTATATTGAGTCGATTTTTATTAGACTGAATTTTCCTCTAATAGAATTTATAATTATATTATACACCTAGGGAAATGTTTTATTTAAGCCAAATATAATATATTTGCATTAAGTAAATATGTATTTATCTTAGAGCCTATTAACTATTTTATTCGCTTCAAATAAAAATTTTATTTTAAAAATAATTTTTTTTTTAATTAGTAGAAGTTCTGAACTATCAAGTGAACAAAATTTTATTATTTCTTCTTCAAAATTAAATTTTTATTACAATAATTTTGTGTCACTATCAAAAAAATTAGTTTTTGAAATTTGTAAGTGTAATTAAAATTTTTAATTTTTATTTCAATTAGTAATTTATGGAAATACTTTTAATAAAAAATATTTCATTCATTTGAACGTTCAAAATTTGTGGATCATTTTCTTTGGCGAAAATGAAATTGTATTTGAACCGAATAAAATTTTTTTGAACCAATTAAAATTTAGTGATGTGAATTAGTGTCATAATTTTCATTAATTGAGATTTTGAGACAATTTACAATTAAAAAAATCCGATGGAAGGATTTTTAAAAGAAATGTTTACATCATTTTTTTAAATAAAAAAAAATTCTTGGATCTGAATAAAAAAAACTGGTTTATCATTTATATATTCATGGAATTTTGCAGTTTAATTGACAATTAGGCTAGTTATTAAAATTAAACTTGTTGAATGAAATAATTAATTAAACGGTTCTTGAAATTAAATTAATTAAAATTAATTAATAATTAAATTAAATTGCTTCCTTTATGACGATGTAAAAAAATGGATTTTATTAATATTACTGCACACAAAGTGGTTTATAAAGTATTTTAAAATATTTTATTTTCCATCATTTTATTTATGAATATTTAATTTAACGGCATTATTGAAAAAATTTTGTTTGAAAAAATTTCGATACAAAAATTTTGTTCGATTCATAAAAATTATTTGTAAAGATATTAAAAAAAAATTATTAAAGAAGATTGAAAATTATTAACATTTTAATGAATTTTTCATTCAAGGTAAATTCTTATGAGAATTTGAATTTCAAAAAGTTAAAATTGATGTTTAATTTTAATAATAATTCGAATGGAACAAATAAACCTAATCTGGTGAAGGATGCATTTTACACTTTGTTATTTTCTTGATCGATTAATAAACACGATATTATAAAGTTATATCTATACTTCTATGCAAAAATATTCATACAATATTATTGCTCATCAATCTTTTGTTCAATAATTATGTTAAAAAGAAAATATTCAAACGATATACCGGTTTTTTGTATTATTTTATAATAAAACTTATTTTTCTTTAATTAAAAAGAGAAAAATCGAGAAACTATATTAATAATCGTTGTGTTTCGGTAATCTTTTCGCAGCTTGAAGTTAGTTGTTTGTTTTTTTGTTTCTTTTTTTTTAATAATTTTTCTTTTCAAATATTTTCAATTTTAAAATTAAAATATATTGAAAATCATCAAATTGTTGCAAAGAATTTTATGAAAAGATTTGATAATAATAGAATTCCTTCGAAGAATTTTATTATTTAGGAAAATAATTGAATTCTCGTGAAGAATTTTGTTCAAATTTTTGAAAATTCCAATTAAATTCTTTTTAAAGAATTTCATTGAATTTTTTTTTTATTAATTTTAATTAAAAACTTTTAAAATAATTGAATTTTATGTACGATTTCTTTCAAGTTTTTAAAATAATTGTGTTTGTTAATAATTTAAATTAATCATTTAATTATTGAATTTTATTAAAGTTTTAGGAAATAATTGAATTATTTTAAAAAATTTATTAGAAGTTTAGAAAATAATTGAATTTTTTCGAAAAATATTATTAAAATTTTTTTTTAAATTGATTAAATAAATTAATAAAAAATTTTTCTTTCATTAAATGTTATTAAAATTGTTTAAAAAATAATTTTAGATTTTTGCAAAGATATATAATAATAAATATAATTGCATTTTTTTTGAAGAATTTATTAAAATTTTAGAAAATAATTGAATTTTTTCGAAAAATATTTTTAAAAATAAATTAAACATTAAATTTTTCATGAAATGTTATTCAGATTCTATTAAAAATACTTGAATTTTTGCAAAAAATTTTACTATTAACAAAAATTTAATTGAATTTTTTCGAAGAATTTTATTATTTAGGAAAATAATTCTCATGAAGAATTCTGTTGAAATTTTTTATAATTCTAATTAAATTCTTTTCGAAGAATTTCTTTGAATTTTTAATAAAATAATGAAGCTTTTTTAAAAAATGTAATTAAAAGTTTTTTAAATAATTGAATTTTATGAACAATTTCTTTCAAGTTTTTAAAATAATCGTGTTTGTTAATAATTGAGGTTAAACATTTAATTATTGAATTTTATTGAAATTTTAGAAAATAATTGAATTCTTGCGAACGATTTTATTAAAATTTTTTTAAATAATTGAATTTCCATAAATAAATTTATTACATTTAAAAATAATTGAATTCTTGTGATGAATATTGTTATGTATGAAAATAACTGAATTTTTCAAAGAATTTGATTAAAATGCCTCAAAATAATTGAATTATCGGGGATAATTTTGTTATTTATCGACATAATTGAATTATTTATGTAAATATTTGAATTCCTGCGAAGAATTTTATTAAAATTTTTGATATTAATAAACAAGAATAATGGATTAGTAAATGAGTTAATAATTGAATTTTTTTAAAGTTTGAATCTAAAATTATTTAAAAATTCATATTTGGAAATTAAAAATTTTGTAATTTGCGTAATTATTTTCTAATTTGCTAGTTATGTATAATTGTATATACAAATTAGTTTCTAAATTATTGATTAGTCAATTTAATTTAAAATCGAATTGACTTTTGTGTATTATTTTCTTTATTTGAGTAAATAGAAAAAGAATAACAAAAAAAAAATAATACTATATTGTTATAAAAAAATTAATCGAATTGCGTTTGTGGGAGGAAAAAATAATTTCTATTTAAATTAATATTTATCCAAGAATGAATTCAATGTCGTGATGGCTTGTATCGGTTTTTATAGATAAAATTCTTTATCAAAAATCGTTGCATTTTACTTATTCGATAGTCACGTTCAAATGTGTACACAAATAAATGTGTATGATCGAATTGCCTCAGGGCTTTCTATTTCATTTTTTTTTCTTGTTATCAGAATTGCCACAGCAATTTACAATTTTCTCACAGTTGAATGCAAGTCGCAAGAAAAGTATAAGAAATGGAATAGAAACAAAATGTTCCAGCATTTAAAAAAAAAGAAATTACATTAGACTTTATATCGTAAAATAAATAAAAGCCGAGGACAATTATTGAAGAGAGAGAGAGAGAGAGAGAGAGAGAGAGAGAGAAAATTCTATTTTTCTCCCAAAAAATACCATTTTTTCTCTCTCCCAAAAAAAAATATTTTTCTTGCTTCTGGTTATTAATTTCCTGTTTAGTGAAAAAAGATAAAAATTTCAACAATCATAACGAGCTTTATTTTATTTAGCTTTGTTTCTTATCACACAGCTTATTAAGATTCTATGATTCAGGAAAAGATAACAATCGCCTTCTTCTTCTTTTTTTTTTGTTTTTTTGTTTTAAACACACAGAGAACAATAAAATTGTTTGGAAGGTACCACGTGGTAGAAAAATATACTTGATATTTTCGAATTATAATGTACACATTAATACAATATTTACATCAATTGGAGATCTATCAATTCACATTTTTTTTTTAAAAACTAGTTTTTCTTGGCACACGACACATTCTACTCTAGCTACGTATATAAATGCACTTTACAGTCATTGTCATGTGAATTTTTCTTTACGCTCTTTCTTTCTGTCTCCAAAAAAATAAACTACGGTTACTTTCAGGTTTTGGACAAAATTCTTTTTTTTTAAAGAATTTTTTTTCATTTTCCTAAAGTTTGCGAACGTTCAAATGATAGAATTTATTTATTTGTTGCTGAAATAAAATTATTATTGGAATTTTCCTTTTATTAAAATTAAAACTTATTTGCGTTAATAAGAATTAACAAAAAAACAAAATTATTTTTAGTTTTTAAATGTAAATTTTCATTTTTGCAACTGAGAATTTATGAAAATATTTTTAGCAAATGATTCGTTCAGTTTCTAAAGTTTCGAACGTTTCAATGAACGACGATACTTTTTTTTCTTTTAAATTGAATTCTTTTGACAAAAATATTTTTTTACTAAATTTTGTAAAAATATTCAGTTAGTAATTTTTCTAAAATATCGGAGCAAAAAAAAAGACTTCGTTCATTTTTAACGATAAGAACTTTTTGAAAAATTGGTCATTTGAACGTTTAAAGTTTTAGGAAAATTTAAGCCTTAAACAAAAATAATTTAAACGTTGAGAACTTTAGGAAAATTTTTTATTTGAACGTTCAGAACTTGAGGATTTTGTTCCTTTTTTGTTTTCGTGAGAATTGAATTAATTTTCGATAAACTAGAAGAGTTTTTGGAAACTAGAGAGTGATTTGTAGGCAGTTAATCGGAGTCAGAAGCTTCGGTACTTGAATCGCTTTCAGTTTCGGTTGTGTCGTGATTTAAGGGTCGTCTATTCGTGTTCACGAAGAGATCATCTTCCTCCTTTTCCTCATTATCCTTTGGATCGTCTTCTTCTTCGTTATCCGCATCGCCATTGCTCTCGTGTCGTTTCTGCTGAAATTCCTGGGGCCAACAATTTTGCGACTGCAAATACTTTATGTGCTCCTGAAAAGAATTATTTTTTTGTTCAATATTCCTCTTTTTTCTCTAATTTGGAAATTTTGTTTTAGCAGACTTCGCACTCGATAATTAATTATAAAAAAGAAGCAAAAAGTAGCTTTTGAAATAAAAACAGTGGTACTGAAAGTAGCTATTGAATAATTAAACTTGACGACCAAAAAAACTCGTTTTAGACACTTCACAAAACTGACAAAAGAACTTTTCAAAATAATTGAATTTTTCAAAAAGAAATTTATTACTTTTAAAAATAATTGAATTCTTGTGATGAATGTTATTATTTATGAAAATAATTGAATTTTGCAAAGAATTTTATTAAAATGCCTCAAAATAATTGAATTTTCGAGAATAATTTTGTTATTTCAAAAAAATGTAATTAAAATTGTATTTAGAATAATTGATTTATTTCGAACAATTTTATTAGAATTTTTTAAAATAATTGAATTTCCAAGAAGAAATTTATTACTTTTAAAAATAATTGAATTCATGTAATGAATATTGTTATTTATGAAAATAATTGAATTTTGCAAAGAATTTTATTAAAATGACTCAAAATAATTGAATTTTCGGGAATAATTTTGTTATTTATCAACATAATTGAATTATTTCGAAGAAATATTTATGTAAATAATTGAATTCTTGGAAAGAATTTTATTAAAATCTAAAAGAATAATGGAATTATTTAAAAATTTTTTTTTAAAATTGTATTTAAAATAATTGATTTCTTTCAAAATAAATAATTAATATTTTGGAGAAATTTAATCAAATTTTTAAGAAAAATTGCATTTGTTGAACAAATCCTGTAAAATTGTATTAAAAATAATTGGAATCCTGCGATGAATTTTATTATTTATGAAAATATGTAATTGAATAGTTATTTGAACAAGTCTTTGGAAATATTTGAATTACTTATAGAAGAATTTTATTTTTAAATTTATAAAATAATTAAATTCGTGCGAAGATTTATATTATTTTTAGAAGTAATTGAATTCTTTTGAAGAATTGTATTAACACTTTTAAAAAAATTGAAAATTGAATTTCTACAAAGAATTTTATTATTTATGAAAATAATTGAATTTATTTGCAGAATTTTATTAAAAAAATTTTTAAATAATTGAATTCCTCCCAAAAATTTAATTATTTGTGAAAATAATTGAATTCTTCCAAAAATTTGATTATTTATGAAATAAATTCAATTTTTGCAAAAAATTGTATTGAATATTTTATAATTAATTGAATTTCTGCAAGAAATATTATTTTCAAAAATAATTGAATTTCTGTAAAGAACTTTATTATTTTTGAAAATAATTGAATTCTTCAGAAGAGTTTTTCTAAATTTTTTAAAAATAATTGCGAGTTCTTGGGAAGAATTTTATAAAAATTTTTGAAAATATAAACTTATTTCTTGAGACGAATTTTTTTATTCACGAAAATTATTGAAACTCTAAGAAGAATTTTATTATTTATGAAAATAGTTGAATTTTTCGGAAGCTATTTATTATTTATCAAAATAATTGAATTCTTGTAATGAATATTGTTATTTATGAAAATAATTGAATTTTCGGGAATAATTTTGTTATTTATCAAATATTTAAGAAATTTAAGAATTTTATTAAAATCTAAAAGAATAATAGAATTATTTCAAAAAGATGTAATTAAAATTGTATTTAAAATAATTGATTTATTTCGAAGAATTTTATTAAAATATTCGAAAATAATTGAATTTCTATGAAAAATTCTAATATTTTTGTAAAAAATTATTTTTTCTCGAGGAATTGAAATTAAATTTTTAAGATTAATTTCATGTTTTGGGCAATTACTGTAAAATTGTAATAAAAATAATTGAAATCCTGCAATGAATTTTATTATTTATTTAAATAATTGAATAGTTGCAAAGAATTTTATTAAAATTTTCAAAAATAATTGAATTCCTGAGAAGAATTTTATTTATGAAAATAATTGAATTATAGCGAAAAATTTTATTATTTATGAAAATAATTTAATTTTGGCTGAATTTGAATTGAATCGTTTTAAAGAATTAGCGAATTTAAAGTAGTGTAAATTCTTTTAAAAAAACAGAAATTGTAGGTTTTAGCGACTGAGTACCCAAATAGTAGCATAACGTAAAAAATGTAGTAAACAGCAGATTTTAGTAGATGAGGGCGAAGACTGTTTTAGTTTGACTTTTTCACATTCTCTTCAAAAATAATTATTTGTTTTCGGTTTACCAAGAAAATTTTTTGAAATTCGTCTTACCCTTCTTAAAATCTTAACTATCTCTCCTTTAACTTTGTCGCCCTCAGTGATTGGCTCGATGATAACGAAATCGCCTCTTTTAACCCATATGTTGTTCCGAAACTTTCGTGGCATAGATATAAGGAATCGTTCTCCGTTTACATCCATTGCTTCGTGAAGGTTATTTCCTCTTGATTCTATCAGTTGAACTATCGATTGAGTCTCCGATGGCACACTTAAATCCTCCTCAAGTTCCCTGGTCACGTGTTTGCGTTTTGTTGACTTCGACATTCTGAACTGAAAAATAAAACCAAATTTTAGTTCTCCACAAATTTTTGGAATTGTTGAAAATATTTTCTATTTTTGCTCATTTTTATTCTAATTTCTATTTTTTAGTCTAATTTCTAATTGAAATCAAACAGGAGAAAAATAGTTTTGAAGTGTAAAAATAATAATGTGCTTGAATTAAAAAAGAAAATGAAAAAGTGCAAAAGTAGAAAAAATACAGAGAGAGAAATTAATTACTTTAGGAGAAAAAATGCACGAGTAAAAAAAAATCACATTCGAACGTCATCAGTGGCGTCTTCTTTACTTTTGCCACTTTCAAGATTAGAATTATTTCTATTTTTATTCTGCGACGAGTATGTGCCAATATTTCCCGATGATTTTTCAATAGCCTTCCAAATGTCTAAACTCTCTCCAGGCGATATTTCATAGCCAGCCTCGAGTCCATGCGGATTTGACGGCGTTTTACAATCGAGATTTGCGTCCTTCCTGAGAACAGTGTCAACTTCAACTGAGGTGAAAAAAGCCACCGACATTGGCAAGTCCTTCAAGCCAAGTCGCGAGGAGCAAAAAGAACGAGTCAGCAAATTTGTAATGTGCATGGCAAGTGCGGCATTATATTTAAACTTGGTCGATACCAGATAGCGGATTTCGTCGTGAAACGAGAGACAAAATCTCGCATTATCGCGCATCAGCCATCGCATCGAGACCAACATCAAGTGTAAAAAATCAACCGCTCCACTTTGAACAACCCAATTTATTTTCGTCGGCAGATATTTATCGTCGTCCACCTGTTGGCCCTCCAATGCCCGACTCAGTCTCGAGTTCAAGAATGGAGTAACCGGCTGTGAACTGCCGGCAATCTCCTCGAGTCTGTTGAACATTGCTGATTCAGAGCCACCGATCCATTGACCTTTCTCGAACATTTCGCTCACTGTGCGACCGTAGATCTTCGCTAGTTTGAATATTAATCCTCCGGAGTATTCCTTGTCGGTGAGCTCCTTGCTGATGAATTCCTTTTTCAGACGGTAGACTTTTCGTCCTTTTGTTAAAGCGAACATTTTTTTCGATTTTGAGGACGCTTCCGACTCGGTCATCGTTGGGTTGAATTGTTTCAGAAGTCTCTCGGCGAATCTCTGCCCGGCGCCGTAGATTCGAGCGTAGTTGATTACTTTCGCGTGGTCCCGGGATATTCCGATCGCCTTCGCCGTGACGCTATGCATATCGGTCCCGTCGGCTTTATTACCGATCAGGGTCATCCATCCAAAAGGTGTCGCTCCGTGGATTTTCGCGTGATGAGCGTCGCCGATCACGGAAGCGATCCACAATTCCTGACTGTCCACGTCCGCTCCAACAATATTATAACCCGGAGGCGCTTGGATCATGGCACGTAATTCGGATCCTATTCGCTCCCCATGGGCGTTCGACGCCGTCATCCAAGTCGGCTCCACAGCTCGTCGGGTCAATGTCCCAGAGACCACAACCTGGGGAAGAATCGCGCCGTACCGCATTTTTCTTTTCTTAAAAGCACTCGGTAACCCCTTTTCATTGAACCAAATAACCAGTTGGGAGTGAATTCGGTCCCTATTGTTCCGCCAATAAGACAACATTCTCGCTATCTTGAGAACCGAGGTGGCACTCACGTCGAGACCAGCGAGCACATTGTCGGAGAATTTATTCAAAAAATCCTTCGCCAAGGGATTGCCGACATTCTTCGACGCTCCGTCCTTGTGCGGGAGTTTGAAGAACCAGCAACAATTGTCCATATCCACATTACACCAGACTCCACTTCCCTTGTAGAAAGTACCCTCGGGGTTTTTCCTCCTCTTCTCTCGCCAAAATTCCGTCTTTGACAATTCACTCTGTACCTCTGAGTCCAAAGTCATCATTGCGTAATCAGTCTCTCCTTCTCGATTCTCAACGGGCAGTGGACACTGTCGAAGCAATTCCCTCAAGGGGATTTTCGTCTCATTGCTAAGATCTTGACTGTAGGGAACTAGAAATCCCCAACCGTGTTCGCGAATATAGTGCAGGGGATAATTCTCCCAAGTGAGATTCAAAATCTTCGGTACGACTTTCATGGAAGTGCTGATATTCTGAGCGCCTGGTAGCCAGTCCTCGTCGCTTTTTTTGTCACATAATTTTCGATACCAGGTGGGATAGCCCGGCATGTGTGGCATTTTCGCCGGAAGGTAATATTTCGTGTCGTGCAAATAGGAAAATTTCTCCTCCAGCGGATCGATTTCTTCCTCTTCGTTTTTCTCGGCCTCTTTTTCCTTCGCCCTTTCCTCCTTTTCTCGAATCATTTCCAAACGTTTCTCCTTCGTCAGAAGCGACTTGATCTTAACACTCTGAGTACTCCAGTCCTGATCCCACATCCACAAGTCCTCCTTATACTTGCCATCGTGCATCAATCGACACACCTCGGCCGCTCTTTTCGACAAAATAACCTTCGACTCGTGACTCAAATCATCGAAAGTCAAATCCGCCTCCTCGATATAACGCCGCCAATTTGAATTCACAGGCAAATAGGCCGAGCCAAGTTCCAACATTCCGGCAAATGTGACTGGATGTGGAAATCTCTCTTTAAATAAAGGAAATAAAATTTGAAATATTTCAAATGTGGAACGAACATCATTGGCGCAGTACTTCATCATATCGTTGAATTGCTCTCGAATTTGTAAAAGTGTACCGTCGACAAATAAGTCGCGAGCCTTTTTATCGATTTTCCGTCCACAATAGAGTTTGTAAACGTCAGACAAATTGTTCAATGAGGAGAGATTGCGCAACTTCTCATCAAGGCTGTCGTCGTCGTTGTCTTCTTCTTTATTTGACTTTAAGAGAGCTCGTTGAAAACTGTTGATTCCACTAATACATACATGCATTGACATTGTATCGATGAATCGTGTTCCAGTTGAATTCAGCCAATATTGTTCCTTAATTCGAGCACGATCGTAAGAGACATTGTGACCGATTATTAATTTTCCTCGTTTCTGGAAATTTGTTAATTTTGTTCCATAGTCTTCGGATGTACTTTCGAGGGGTATGAGATAGTCGTCGGAGAGATAATTGTCCTTGACGACATTCGAGCCTTCGACGAGGGATTTTGACACCCAACCGTACCATGCATTTTTACTCACTGCTGTTGCTAGGGTTGGAAGTTGTCCTTCATTGACGCAAACTTCTACGTCGAATATTAATCCGTCTTCTGGTGGATAATCCACTTTTTCCGATCCGAATTCTGTATATCTGGAATATTATAAACATTTTTATATATTTTTTTTTAATATTAAACATATTTCTAAATATTTTTTTTTAATTTTGAATGTGAAAATGTTTCTTAATTACATAAATATTTAATCAGAGTTGCCGCACTTTAGAAAAATTAGGAAATTCAAGGAAAAGGAAAAAAAAATAAATAAAATTGTTGTTTTAAAATCTTTGAACGTTCTAATGAATGATTATATTTTTGCTACTCCTTTTAATTTGTATTTTAATAAAAAAAATTATTTTTTATATTAAAAAAATTAATTCTTATTCAAATTCCTTATTTAATTACGTTTACTACGTAAATAAATAACAGGATTGCCACAGGTTAGGGAATTCAGGGAAAAGTCAGGGAAAGTAAAATTGGTCAGGGATTTTTAATAAAAGTACTGGAAAAAATTGAATTTTTATAATTCATGAGAAAACTCTGAATTTTGATGTTTTTTTTTGTCTGCCTCATAAACAATAAAATTACTATGAATTCTAATACAAAACCTTCAATTGTTTCTATTTCTGCCAATAATTTCTTTTTAAATAACTTAATTTTTCAAGAACTATAATAAAATGATGACTTATAAATTATTTAATGAATAATTTTTATAATTTTCATAAATATTATATTTATAGAAGAATTTTAATTAAAAATACTTTAAAAAAAACTAAATGTTGGAAAAGTTACAAATGATTCCAGAAATTAAATTATTTTCAAATTTTTTTTTTTATTATCGTCAAAGTTTCAATTACCTTTATAAATAAAAAAATTCTACTCCGAAATTAAATTATTTTTAAAAATTTTAATAAAATTCTTGACAAAATTTCGCAGGAATTTACAAAATTTTTAATAAATTTCTTAGAAATAATTTAATTATTTTCATAATCTTTTCACAGAAATTCGATTATTGAAAATATAAAATTTCATAAAATTTTTCGTAAAATATCAATTATTTAAATTTTTTTTTATAAAATTCGTCGCAAGAATTCAATTATTTAAAAAAAATTTAACAAAGTTCTTTTCAAGAATTCAATTATTTTTAAAAATATTAAAATTCTTCACCAAAATTCAATTATTTTTATAAACTTAAATAAAATTTGTTGCAATAATTCAATTATTTTTAAAAATATTAAAATTCTTCACCAAAATTCAATTATTTTTATAAACTTAAATAAAATTTGTTGCAATAATTCAATTATTTATATAAATAATAATATTCTTCACAAAAATTCAGTTATTTTAATAAACTTGAATAAAATTCGTTGGAAGAATTCAATTATTTTCAAAAGTAATAAAATTCTTCGCAGAAATTCAATTATGTTCAAAATTTAAAAAGAACTTATTGTCAAAATTTCAAGAACCTTTATATAAATAATAAAATTCTTCTCCGAAATTTAATTATTTTAGAAAAATTTTAATAAAATTCTTGGGAAAATTTTGATTATTTTCATAAATAATAAAACTCATCGCAGGATTTTAATTATTTTTAATACAATATTAATCAAATACCTCGAAAAATGTAATTATTCTTAAAATTTTTGTTAAATTTTGTCAAAAGAATTCAATTATTTAAAAATTTGTTGATAAAATTCTTTATGAGAATTCAATTTTAACAAACATTCAATTATTCAATAAATTATTTATTTTTGTATTTAAATAATTGAATTCTTCTAGAATTTTCTAATGAAAATTGATAATAATTGAATTCTTGCAACGAATATTATTACATTTTTTTAAATAATTAACTTTTTTTGAAAAGTTTTATGGTATTTTAAATTATTACAAAACATAAAGAAATAATAATAATATTAATAATAATAATATTAATAATAATAATATTAATTAATAATAATATTATTATTAAGTCTTCAACTCGGAGTGATCGCCTTCTTCATGTTTTGTAATAATATTCTTATAAGTTGTTGAATTTTAAAAAGGTTTGAATTTGAATGTTTTGAAGAATTTTAATTCCTACGGAAAAATAAAATTAAATATTTGTGGCAACCCTGAATAATAAATAAATTAATTAAATGTTTAACTTCTTAATAGAAATTATTCATTTAATTTGAATTAGAATTTTTTTAATATGAAAAATAATTTTTTTAATAAAATACACTTTCCATTCTAGAATTAGTAATTTTGGAAAATGTTTGAACAGAAAAAATATTTTGTTCATTTAAAAGGTCAAAACTTTATGGAAAATAAAATTGGTCATTAGAAAATTAAAGAAAAATCAGAGAATTTAAACAAAACTACTGGAAAAATATTAACTTTTTTTAGAATTTAAAAGAAAATTTTGGATTTCTGTGAAACCTTTGAAAATATTGAAAAAATTTCATTCTTCTTGAATTTCCTTTTTGTTTGGCTTATAAAATTTGTAATCACCACGAATTTTAATATAAAACTTTTAATTTTTTCTATTTCTGACAATAATTGAAATTTACAGAATTAGAAATGGAGTTTATTTAAAATAATTTATTTGTTAAAGAATTATCATGAAATTATTACTTATAAATTATTTAACGAATAATTTTACTTGAATAATCGAAAAATAATTGAATTTTAGAGAAGTTGATGCGTTTACAATTTTTATTATAAATAATTGAAATACAAACGGTTACAAATTCAAATTTTTAATATTTTTAATTAAAAGGTTTTAAATTGAAATTTTGGAAAATTTTAATTTTAAGTAATTTTAATTAACAAAATAAACAGTTAATTAATACAAGTTTATTGCAAATCATTTTTTGAACTTCTTTTTAGCAATTAAAATTGAAATTTTGGAAAATTTGAATGTTTAATAATTTTAATTAAAAAGAATTTCAAAAGATTTTGAAATAAAATTTTGGAAAATTGAATGTTCAATAATTGTAATTAAAAAGGAATTTAAAAAGGTTTTGAATTAAAATGTTAGAAAATTTTATTTTTAAATCATTTAAATTAAAAATTCTGAAAGAGTTAGTTTTTGAATCAAAATTTCGAAAAAATTTAATTACAAACAAGTTTTTTGAATTATTTTAGATAAACTTCCTTTTTTTTCTTTGAATTTTCAAAGAAGTTTCGCAAAAATGATTGAAAATAATGAATTTAAAGAAGAATTTTACTTAGAAATTCTAGGAAATGATTGAATTTAAATTTTAAAAATAATTTTAGAGAAGTTACATCAGCAACGTTTATTAATAATTGAATTTCCAGTGATTTTAAATTGAATTTTGAGAAAATGCGGATTTTAAATAATTCTAATTATAACGTCTGAAAAACTTGGTTTTTGAATTTTTTTTTCTTAATTTCTATAAAAAAAAATAATTGACTTGAAATATTGAAAATAATAATTTTGAAGAATTTAATTTAATTTATTTAAATTTTGTTTAATTCTTATGAATTATTAAATTGGAAAGAATTTGAAAAAAGGGATTTTAAATTGGAATTTTAGAAAATTTGAGTTTCTATGGAAAAATATTAATAATAACAATTAAATATTTATTTTAAAAAACTATTAATATTTCGAAGACATTTACAATCAAATATATTCATAAATAAATGTAATAGAAACATTTTTTGCGTATCCAATAAATTTTCGAGTGAATCAGAATATTTTTTGTGAAAAAAATCTTCTTTTAGGAAAAAAAGTCAAAATTCTATCTGGAAATCCGGGCAAAACAAAATAAAAATTCTGTGGCAACCCTGAAAATATGACACATTTTTATTATAAAAAAAACAAATGTCTATCAAAGTTCGGAACGTTGAAATAAACGAGAAATTTATTTATTTTCTTCAAAATTAAAATTTTATTGCAAAAATATTGCGTCACGAATTAAAAAAAATTATATGGGTGATTCTCCCGAAATACTCCTTTTTGTGAGTTACAAACAGAAAAGAAAAAAAATTATTATTTATGGATTAATGCAGTCAATTATATTGAGCTTTCAAAAATCTACCACCTCTATAGCATGATCATGCTAACTTTTAGCTTTAAAAGTATATATTTTAAATTAAAATTTACAAAAAAATTAAGAGGTTAAAATTTGGCGCCGGCGTTTTTTATTATATATATTTTTCTATTTACAAAAAATTATTTAAAAATTATAATTTATTAATATTATCTATAAATTTTATAGATTTTGAAATACTTACAGTTATCAAAAATCTCTTTAAACAATTGTTAAAAATTATGTTTCATACATTTTAGGTTCACTTTTCACTGGCAGTTTGTAAACAACCGACAATCATATCAATTTTTAACTTTTATTCAAAAAAGTGAGAGGAATGACGGGTGAGAGGAATGACGATTTCAACATTTTTTAATTTTATTTAATTGACAAATAATTTTCCTCCAGCTTAGAATGCCCTATCATGTTTATAAAGGATAACTTTATGTGAAAAAAATTTGCGATCCATTTATATATATTAATATTGTTTTTATTAGGGGTGAGAGGAATGACGCTTTAGGTTGTGAATCTCTGCTTATGTCTCAATTTAAATTTTTTTAACGCAAAATAATGACATTTTTTAAAAAGTAACTTAAGAAATTAATATTAGAGATGTTAATTTAAATATTGATCACAATAATTAATCAATATCTCTACCCACAGCAAAAATATTGGATAATATTCAACGAGTGAGAGGAATGACGCGGTACTACATGACAAATTTCATTTTCTATATTTAAAAAAACTACACGACATATTTTATTCATATTTTAGAAAATTATTCTTAAATATCATAACTTTTAGAAAAAATTAATAAAGTACCAATTTTCATGTTTTAAATAATTGTTTTACCTATTGAAAAAATGAAAAGCACTTAGATGACAGGTTAGAAAATCGATTTTGAGGTGGTAAAATATTTTAAAAATGTATTAAACAATAAAATTTTACAACTTTTTCTTGCAGAACATTTAGAAAAAGTGATAAAATAGGGAAATATGACTTGGTATTTTCCCAAATGATTATAATTATTTAGAAAATATTGATTACATGCAAAATGAGGTTTTTTGGAGAATCACCCATATAGATTCGAAATGTTTTATTGTATTTTTTTCTTTTTTTACACAGTTAATAATTTGAAAATTATTAATATTAGCAAAAAATTTCGTTTATTTGAACGTTAAAGACTTGTGCATGATTAAAGGCAATTGTTATTAAGTGAAATTATTATTTTAATAAAAATTGATATTAATAAAATTAATGTTAAAAATTTTATTTAATAAATATTTAAAAATTTAAAAAAAGTCAAATAATAATTAAAAATAGTAAAATATTAGAATAATGATTAGAATTAGTAAAATAGTAATAAAAAAATGATAATAAATTATAATTATAGTTAATTATGAAATGAACTCACTTTGTCCATCCTTCTTGAAGAATCCATTGTTCAGGAGCTGGTGGGATTTTTTTAATGAGCTCATTCACAACTTTCAAGTAGGGTTTGATTTGTGATGTAGCAATATTGTAAAAATGCTCTTCAATATTCTTTCCCTCTAGACTAGGCAATTCTACATTCACATTTGGTAAGCGAATTTGTTTATCGACATTTAATCCAAAAGTTTCTAATTCTTTTTTTATTGAATCTAATTTCTCTGGGGAAACAAATGACTGGTTTCCTTCTGGAAAAAGTGTTTTAAACAATGATGACGATAGCATTTGTAAACAAATTTCATTTTCTCGATTTTCATCTGTTTTTAAATTAACATTGTTATCATTTGAAACTTCCTCTGTTGCTTGAATTGTAGTCGTTTTATTTATTGTCTCCTGTATTAGTGTGGAATTTTTAAATTTAATTACTTTGAATTTTGTATTTTTAAAATTGCGATATTTAATATTACTAGCTGGTGAATTGATTGGATTATTTGTTTGTGATTTCCATTTAACGGTTCTAAGAGGTTTTTCGAAATTTTTACTTTCCTTTAGGATAAAATTGGCACAGAGTGAATTTGTATTATTCGAAAATGTGGAAAATGAACGTTTTCTTATTCCATAGTGAACGTCCGATATTTCTTCTGGATTTCTTGTTGAAATGTAATTTTCAGCGGAGAGTTTATTTGTTTTTGCACTGTAACCTTTGTATTTTTGTTTTAGTCTTCGAATTGATTTGAGATCTGGTGGGACATCATAGGGCGATGTTTTAATATCCTTTCTCATAAATTTATATTGATAACCCATGTTGTAATGTTTTGAGGTTAGACCATTGTTATCACCATCACTTGTTTCTTTTTTACGAATAATACGTATTTCACAGTTCTTTCTGTCGTTACGAGCGAACTCTTTGAAAAAATTAGTACTTTTGTATCGCACTGACATATTTCTAAGCTTTAAAATCATCTTTAAAAATTTAATAAACAAATTTCTACGAACTGAATTTTGTAAGTCCTACACGTGCTGTTTCTAACAAAAAAGTATGACGTATTGTGATGACTATTTGATGGAGACTGTATGTTTTATTATAAAGAAAAAATTACCTGAAAAGTACTGTAGAAAAGCTTAGCGAAATACCTTTTTCTTCTGTCTATCGTTTCAAGGATTTTGAAGTATTGAAAATTCAATAAAATCAAATTATTAGACGCGAAAGAAACTTTGTAAATGCGCGATGACAATGCGCTAACAACGTTCGTGTTTTACTCCATTGAAAATTTTCAAAAATCGATAGAAAGAAGTTTTGAAAATTATTTTCAAGAAACTTGTATTAATTAGATGTTTATTTACGTTATTTACTCATTGTTTTTATGAATTGCACCAATTTCACTTTGTTTTTGTACTCGAAAATTTTTATTTTGTAAAATTAGGTAAAGGTTCAATTTTCTCGTCATACGGCACTGCCTTCTTTGGCGCCATTTTCAAATTGAAATATATTTTTTATAAATAAAAAAGGTAAAAAGAAATTGTTAATAGAAAAAAAAGATTAATACAAAATAAATGCAACTAATTTTATCAAATTACTGTATTAGGATTAATTTCTTTCATTCGATTTTTATTTGCAAGAAGTTTTCTATTGAATTATTCTCACTCCTCTTCTTTCTCTCTCACACTTTTAAAAATGGCGTCTCAGAGGTGTGGTATCATAACCTCTTTCTGCTATTTCTTTTGTGGTTTCTCATATTTCAATTACAAGTCAGTATAACTCTGTGATAAATGATAACTGATAAAATGTTAAAATTGTGATGGTGGTGGTAGTGGCCATGAAAGGTGACAATCATTATGGATAACTGGACTACTGTATTTATTACAAGTTTGCGGTATTGACATCAAAATGACATTTCTATGTTGATGCACCAAAATAAACCGCAGGAAAACAACTCTACAATGATTTTTAAATCGTTGTTTGTCTGCGGAATACTTCCAGTCTCATTAAGTGACTAGTAAAATACTGACGTTTTACCAACTGTCATTTAAAATGCAAAATCATTCAAAATTTTAAATATCTCTCATATTAATTACAAGGTAGGACATAGCGGTTTTTGTTATTTTTCACCTCTTATTAAAAATTGTGTATTTTCCCTTTCAAACGTTATTGTGAACTTTGACATTGTTGAACTAACTTAATAAATAAATTAATTCCATTCATTCATTCATTAATTAATGAAAAAGAATTTTAAAAATTAATTAAGGAAATTGGATTGAAAATTTGACGTTTATAATCAATTGGAATAATTTTATTGTGGTTTCTTTAATTTAAAAAAAATGGTTATTTTTCTCAGTTTTTGTAAAGTATTTGGTTTGTTTTGTTTATTAGACAAATGTATTTATCACGTTTATTGACAATTTGGATCTTGATAGTTATATTACTCTTAAAACATGTGGGCTATACGTTTTTATTGATTTTCTTCTTGCGTAACAAGGATTAAAAAAGAATTATTCATAAATGTTAGATATAGATTTTTTTTGTGAACATAAAAATAGAATTGATATCTTATTCAATTTTTTAAACAACTTTCGTTCTTGACTTTAATTGAAATTTATAATTTTACACTTTCACGTTGCGTGATAACTTTTCATTATTATTAAATCTTTAAAAAACGAACAGTTATTATCTTCATGAATTTAATAAATAATTAACATTAATACTGGGAAATATTTTTCATTGTGATGAAGTTTTACATTTTCTATAAATTATCCAAAACCTCTTCACTTGTGAAGGTTTGAATTTCTCTAAATTTTACTATTTTTGATAATTTATGCATTTTTTTGTATTTTTTCTTTTACATATTAATTTTATTATTTTTAATTTATTAGTTTTATTATTTTCATAAAATTATTCTCAACCAAATTTGTGAATTTATTTGATCAATTTTATTATTTTTTTCGTTTAATAATTTTATTAGTTTTGTTGTTTTTCTTTTATTAGTTTTTTCTTATTATTTTTGTTTCTTTAATTTTATTATTTTATTGTTATTAATATTTTCGAATTTTCCCGGAATTGTTCACAAACAAATTTGACCAGGTTGAAGTCCACAACGTTTATCAATGAAAAAAGTTTTTCAATAAGTGGTAATTAATAGAAAAAAAAGGAAAAAGCAACAATACTGCCACAAAAATTTATTAAAAAGGTAGAGTTTTATTTATATTTTAATAATAATTGTTGTATATTTAACAAAAATATAATATTCAAATAAATTAAAAAAGCGTTTTCGTTGATCAACGTTGTGGACTTCAACTTCGTACAAATTTGTCAATTTATTTTATTAATTTTAATCCTTTTTTTCATTAATTGTATTTTTATTCTATTAATTTTTTTTCTTGTATTAATTTTATTATTTTCATTTTATTAGTTTCATTCTTATTACTTCATTAATTTTATTCTAATTGTCTTTTATTATTTCTATTTTATTAGTATTATTGTTTTTCTTTTATATTTTTTATTCTATTAATTTTATTGGTATTTTTCTTTTATTATTATTATTATCTTTCTTTTATTAATATTTTTCCATTTTTCCCGGAATTATTCATAAACAAATTTGTCAATTTCTTTTATTAATTTCATTCTTTGTCTTTTCAGGGTTGTCACAGGTCAGGGAATTCAGGGAAATTATTTTCAAATGTAATATAATTCTTCGAAAAAATCCAATTACATTCCAAAATTTTTCTAACTTCCCTTCAAAATTTCGATTATCTTTGAAAATAATAAAATTCTTATCTGAAATTCAATTCTTTTCAAAAATTTTAATACAATTCTTGGCAAAATTTCAACTATCCTTATGAATAATAAAAATCTTCTCTAAAATTCAATTATTTTCAAAAAAAAATTCAATTATTTTCAAAAATTATAATAAAATTCTTGGCAAAATTACAATTATTCTCAAAAATTTTCCTCAATTTAATATTTTGCAATATCTACTATTTTCAGTTATTTTTAACAAATTTAATCGAATTCTTTTTAAAACGTATTTATTCTTAAAAATTTATTAAAATTCGTCAAAAGAATTTAATTATTTTAAAATTTGTTGATAAAATTCTTTATGAGAATTCAATTTTGAGAAACATTAAATTATTAATAAAATTCTACGCAAACATTTAATTATTTTAATAACATATAATTTAATTTAACATTTAATAACATCCTTTGGAAGGATGTAATTTCTTTTATAAATAGTAAAATTCTTTGCAGAAATTCAATTAGTATTAATACATTTTAATAAAATTGAATTAATCAAATTTTCAATTATAATTATCAACAGAAAAGATTGTTTTAAAAAATTGAAAAAATTCTTTGTTTAATTCAATTATTTTCCAAATTTTTAATTAAAATTATTAAACAAACATTATTTTCAAAAAATTTAAAGAAACTTGTCTAAAGAATTTAATTATTTATAAAAACTCCAGTAAAAATTTTGGAAGAGATTTATAGATTTATTTATGTTCGAAATCAAATAAATTTAAATTTGATGAAAAAAAACCGGGAAAAATTAGGATAAAGCCGGGAATTTTGTTAAACGAAAATAGTAGACACCCTGTAATTTTTCTTTTATTAATTTTATTATTTTTCTTTGATTTCTTCTTTTTTTATTAGTTGTCTTTTATTAATTTTATTATTTTTCTTTGATTTTTTCTTTTTTTATTAGTTTTTGATTTTCTAAAATTCTGATTTATTAAGATTGTGAAAATATTTCAGATTCGACAATGGAGGATTACACTCCGGTCGATGAGGACTTTCCTGGACGATTGTTGCATCAGGCTGCACTTTGGGACAATGCAGAACTTCTCGAGGACCTTTTGGGTGGTGAACACAATCAGTACATAAATAGTCAGGATTCATGGGGACGAACGGCTCTTCATGCGGCGGCAATAACGGAAAATTCACGATGTCTTGAAGTTCTATTGTCAGCCGGTGCTAATCCAAATATTGCCTGCGGTCCACGAGGTCAGTATCGTACACCACTGCATATTAGCGCGGAATATGGTCACGTATCGAATGTCGAGAAGCTTCTCGAGTTCAAAGTTGATCTCGGTGTTTGTGACAAGAATGGATATTCACCATTGGACGTTTCCGACAAAAAGGAACACACAAAATGTTCCGCATTATTGAAGCAAGCCGAGGAGAAATATGAACTCGAACGATTAGCATCTCACGCAACATTGAGAGCAGTTTGCGTGCAAGGCGATGTGACAGCAGCGCGAAATATCATTCAAGGTTTAGCAAATGATTTGGAAATTATTATCAACATGGCGCCAAATGGAGCGAATACTTTGCTTTTTATTGCTTGTGAAATGGGACAGAGGGAAATTGTTCGTTTACTATTGGAGAATGGTGCTGATTGTAGAATTCATTCGGTGACAAAATACTGTCCATTGTACATTGCTTGTTACAATGGTAAATTAGAAATAATTGAAATTCTTCTTCGTCACTTTCCCAAACAAATTCAGTCATTAACTGTCGAGAAGAGGCTACCGATTCATGCAGCTGTGATAAATGGTCATCACGCCGTCTTTGATCTTCTGCTCAAATTCGAATATCCTCAGAATTTATTTCAACGATTTAAGGATCCATCAGGGGAATTTGAATATGAGATGGCGTTCGATATTAATACACAAGATGTTACGGGTCAAAATATTCTTTATATTTCTAGTATGTCGGGTAATTTTAGAATAGTTGAAAATTTATTGAATTATAAGGTGAAGGCGAGGAAGATAAAGGAGGAAGAGGCGGGAAGTGCAACACCAGTGCCGATGTCGAAGAGAAGAATATCGAGTGGTATTCAGAGATTAATGTCGAGCTTAAATTTTAGGAATAAATCGTCCGAGAAGAAGGATGATTGTATTTGTCCTTTGTATTTAGATTTGTATTGTAATAATAATACGGAAACGGCTTTACATGTTTCTGTAAAGGGTCGTCATTTGGACGTTGTGTCGGCTTTGTTGATCGCTGGAGCAAATGCGAATTTACCGGTGAAAATTCTGTATGATCAGTTGGATCCCGAGTCGAGTTTTTCGACAGTATTGGCGATTGCTTGCGAGAATCGGGACGTGAAGATTGTGGATCTTTTGTTGAAACACGGAGCGGTTGATAATGAGTGTAAGGCTTTGAAAATTGCGGCACAAAATCGGGACGAAACACTGACTGCAAAGTTACTTTCGATAAAAGCTTTTCCCGACTCGGAGTATAAGATTAATAAGAAGGCGATGACTGACAGTACGCAATCGTCGCATTTTTCGGCTTTGTCTAGTTTCGGTAATGTTACTTATTCGACTTTGTTTCCGAACGTTCCTACTATGATTAATTGGCACAATCAACAGTGTCGCTTGTCGCAAATTAGGTCCCAGTGGTTTGTCGATGCGGTGCTACACGTTAATAAGAAGCTCAGTGCGAAAAATAACGATCTTGTGCTTTATGCCATCACGAGGATTGACATATCCCATAATTCTATTACGTCCGTTCCGTCCATGGTTTTCTATTTGCAAAGTTTGAAATATCTGAATATGGCTCGTAATAAGATCGATACACTAACAGCGGAGTCGAAAAATCCGAAAGATAAACTCTGTCCGGTTATGGAAGAATTGTATTTACAGGACAATCGATTGGAGCAATTACCCGAGTTTTTGATGAATTTTCCAAGTCTCGAAATTCTTGACGTCTCGAATAATAAACTGCAGTGCTTGCCGAATAATCTTTGGCGAGCGCCGAAATTAAAAGAATTGAATGCATCTTTCAATCTACTGCGCGATTTGCCGAGCGAAGTATTTCAGAATATCGATAAAAAATTCGATCGCGACGATGCGATTGGACACAGTCCAAGTTTCCGAAATTTAGTCTCACAGATTGAATTTTCACGTGAGAATTCCGCCGATTCGATGGACTCGTTTTCGAAAATTGCCAATGCGAGAATTATTGAAATTGAACGTCCGCACGTTTGGACGAAATCGGTGCAGGTTTCGGAGAAAATCACTGACGATCACACGGAACCAGGGATTAGATCCGTCTTGTCGTCGTTGAATCTAGCGCACAATTTGTTCAACAGTATTCCTGTGGCTCTGCCCTGTTTGGCCGTGAGTTTAGTGAGACTGAACATGGCTTACAATTCCCTTCGATCAATGAGTCACATCACGTCATATCCGGCGAGTTTGAAGCAATTGGATTTGTCGAATAATCAGATATCCTGCTGGCCAAGTTTGCCACAAGTTGACGCCGATGCCGATTCTATGGAGCAAGCCACCACTGCCTGTTATTGTCCCACGACGAATATTCAATCGCCGATTGGTCCCAGTAATCGACAGACGGCAACTTCACTACGTGACGTCGTTTTGATGTCGGTTTGCACCCACAGACGCCACTTGCGTTTAGAGAGCCTTCGGACTTTAGTGTTGGCTAATAATTTACTCACCCGAATACAGTTGACTTCAGTCGATGACGGTGAGATGATTGGCAATGACGAGGAGAATAGCGACAAGTCCTCACACAAGTCCTCCTCCTCCTCCTATCCCAATTCGAAATTGTACCTTCTTTTTCCGAATGTCAGCATGTTGGATGTGAGTAACAATCACTTGAAAGACATTCCGCACAATATTTACGAACTCAGTAATCTTTCCGTTCTGAATGTAAGTGGAAATGTCGACATTGTGGAACTACCGCCTCAAATGGGTCTTCTTTCCCGATTGTGGAATTTGAACACTCAGGGTTGTAAATTACAAGAGCCCCTGAAGACTATGATCGAGTCGAAGAAGTACAAAACTATGGACGTTATTGGATATCTAAAATCGGTTCTAGAGGATGCAAAGCCTTATGCGAGGATGAAATTGATGATTGTTGGTATTCAAGGTATTGGAAAGACGAGTTTGCTGGAGCAATTGAGACAGGAGGGAGAGGTGCCGAATAAGAAGAAATCGGCCGATCATTGGGCGAAACGAATGGGGAATAAAAATATCAATGCGAAGACAGCTCGTGGGACGATTATATCGACGGTTGGTGTCGACATCGGCGACTGGATGTACGAAAAAAAAGTCCGTGGTCAATCATCTCACGGAGGTGTATATTTTCGAACCTGGGACTTTGGGGGACAGAAGGAATACTATGCGACACATCAGTACTTTCTGTCGAAACGGAGTCTTTATTTGGTTGTTTGGAAGATTACCGATGGTTTTAAGGGCGTTGCGGAGATTTTCCAGTGGCTAGTGAATATACAAAGTAGGGCACCGAATTCACCGGTGATTATTGTGGGAACTCACTATGACATATCGAATGAGCAGAGTGAAGTACTGCAACAACATATTAGGGACAAGTTCATAAACGTCGTGGACGCCGAGAAATGCGGACTACCTAGAGTTATGGAGACAATTGAAGTCAGTTGCAAGACGAGGCACAATATCAAAATGCTCTGTAATTTGATTTATGACGTTGTCTTTAGTCTCAGGTCACCTGGGAGTAAGGAATTGCTTCTCGAGCAACGAGTTCCGGCGAGTTATCTAGCACTTGAAGAAGTTGTCGTTCAACTAGCTCACGATCGTCGACTGTCGGGTGCTGATCCTGTACTTCGTGCCGATCAATACTACGCAACGGTGCAAAGTGAATTGACAAAATTACGCCGATCGTTTCGCGATCCTGCCGAACTACATCAGGCTACTTTGTTCCTGCACGAGAATGGAATTATTCTCCACTATGATGACGCGACACTTAAGGACCTTTACTTTCTGGATCCTCAATGGCTCTGTGATATGCTGGCGCATGTCGTTACTATCAGGGAAATAAATCCATTCGCTCGCTCGGGAATCATGAAACTAGACGACATTCAACACGTTTTTAAATCGTCGACAATCTCATCGGTGGACACACAAGGATACATCGTGAGTCTCCTGAATAAATTTGAAGTCGCTCTCACTTGGGACTATCGGACACTACTTATACCCTCCCTTTTACCATCGGAAGAGGACATTTTGCGGAACAATCAAATTATCAAAATCCCGGTGAAAACTCGTGGCTGGCACACGAGATCGAAGAAAATTATTACTTCGCCACTATTTCCGTTTCCAAATTCGTCGAGTACAGAGAAGGCGAATTTGGAGTGTTCGTACTTGACGTCGAGACCACAGCCGGATTGTTCGATAACGAGACTTCTTTTGATGTCCTATTTCCCGAGTGGATTTTGGTCACGGTTGATAACGAGAATTTTAGCCGACGATGCAATTGTCGATGTTGTCATGTCGTTTTTAACACCATTCAAGGATGCGGTTGACGAGAAGATCTTCGCCTCCATGCTCGACACACACGCCGAATGGATTCTGTGGCAAACTGGAATTGAACTTCGTTACGCGGGAGTTGTTCTTCTCCGACTAAAGGAAGTGAATTACAATCTGAAAAATTCGCCGTACGATTACAGACAGTATAAGTTTAAGCTCAAGCAGGATGGAATTTGGTGCACGGTCGATTTGAAGAATAGTGCGATTCTTGAAATTTGGTTCCCGGTGGATACACTCGTGGTGAAGCAGCCGATAATTACCGAAGTGTCCGAGGACGAGCCTATTGGATATCAAGCGATTGTTGTCGATCCACAACCGGAGAGTATGCCACAATTACTGGCTTTGATTGTCGATCATATAGACATTCTTTTGGAGGATTGGTATCCAACATTGGGAACTAGATTCGTTCATACTTCGGAGGGAAAATTGTTGGTTACTCGATTGATTCCGTGTCCTAGATGCTTGCTGAATAATGGTGACAATGACGAGGATCAGGATAATGAGGAGATACAGAGTTACTATCAAAATCGGGAGAGACAGAGTCAGGATAGTTATAAATCGGATGGTGACAGTGGGGTTGGGCAGGATGACGGTTCAACCTCGAGTCGAATGCCATCGTTAGAGGGGAATCCGGACGTGAAACACTTTCTCAATTCGGAGGGAACACTTGTGTATTCCTGGATGGTGGAGGAGTGTATTTTGTCTGCGTATAGTAATAAAACTATTAGTTGCCCGAAACATTCGGATATTCCCCTGTCCCACATTGCGCCGGATATTATTTTCATGGATCTTGGCTCTAGGCACTTGATAAAGTCGGATGATATCAAACGGGGGAAAATGTTGGGACGGGGAGCGTTTGGTTTTGTGTTTCGTGGTATTTGTCGTCTGCCTGGGACTAACAGTCGAGCGGATGTTGCCATGAAGATGTTGCAACCGGTTCCACCGGGGCCGAATTCGAAGCAGTCGGCGATATTGGCTTTTAAGGCCGCGCAGAGTAAGTGGGATCGTGATCCTCTGCAGTACGCTTGCAAGGCTTATTGTACAGCGAGGCAGGAATTGAATATTCTCTTGACGTTGAGACACGCGAATATTGTTCCCCTTGTGGGGATTGTGATAAGTCCTTTGGCGCTTGTTCTCGACTTGGCACCCGAGGGGGCTTTGGATAACGTTTTGAAGAATTATCGAAGATCGGGGGCTAAATTGGAGCCGTATACACTGCAGGCGATTATTCTCCAGGTGGCGAAGGCTGTGGAGTATCTTCATCAGCAGCACGTTATCTATAGGGACTTGAAGTCGGAGAATGTTCTCGTTTGGCAGATACCTTTACCGTTTCAAGACCATCCGGACCATCCGGTTCATGTCAAAGTCGCTGACTATGGAATTTCAAGGCAGACTTTGCCATCGGGTGCTAAGGGTTTTGGAGGAACGGAAGGCTTCATGGCGCCGGAGATAATAAAGTACAATGGCGAGGAAGAGTACACGGAGAAGGTGGATTCGTTTTCGTTCGGTATGTTCATCTATGAATTGATAACACTGAGGCAGCCATTCGAGGGCCATGAGGCTGTCAAGGAGTGCATTCTCGAAGGAGGCAGACCGCCCCTAACCTACAGAGATTTGCACCATCCATGTTATGCTCTAGATTTGATGGTTATTTGCTGGTCGCAAAATCCTAAGGATCGACCCACAGCGAGCCAAATTGTGTCCATAGCATCAGCGCCCGAATTTGTGCACCTAATAGACGTGACCCTACTGACGGAGAAATCGAGAGTAACAGCAATTACTATGTCATCCAGAAATCTCGAGGAGAACACCACTGGGGACGAAATTTGGCTCGGGCACAACAATGGCGAAATCGACGTTCTTCTAGGAACCCAAAAAGGTTGGTTACAACATGTCCGGATAAACACACCAGTAATACCCTTCGCAATGTGCGAAATTGACGGTTACATCTGGATTGGCGACAATGCCGGTCAAATACACGTCTACCTTGGAACAAATTTCGCCTGCGTTGCCAGTTACCACCTGGACGATGGCAATAGTACTTCGAAAATTGTCGGTCTAACCTATCTAGAGCATTTGAAGCAGTTCGCCATCGCCTTGTGCAGTGGGAAATTATTTTTAGTATCCAACTCCTTTACCCAAATAAAGAAGAGTGAAATTGTCGGCGAATCGAAGGATGATGTGAAAACATATTCCCTCGCCATTGTCTGTAAGAAACGACGTATCGTGGAATTGTGGTTAGGCCAAAGTTTCGGTAGAATCAGTGTCTATGTTCTAAAGGATGGGAATTTGATCGACACTGTTGAAATGACACACGGCGTTGGCGATAGTGGCGACAAGAATTTATTCGCCACTTATCTACTGAGCGCTGAGAATTCAATTCTATCATACACCTGTCCAGGTTGTGTTGTCTATCAATGGGACACGGAGGGTAAACAGATTGTGAATAAACTGGACATGTCGAAATTGGTGCCTTGCTCGGAAAGTTTGAAATCGATTTCAATTGAGGAGAATCTCACTTCGGATAAATGTCAAGTGACGAGTATTGAGTCGTGTATGAATCAGCTTTACATTGGAACAACGTGGGGATGTATTGCGGTTGCTGAATGCAATTCATTGAGACCGATTACCGTTTTTCGACCATTTGAAAGTGAGGTGTGTCAAATTGTTTCATTTAAATCGACGAATAAGAAGAGAATGATCTTGGTGACTGTTGGACGTGGTTATCGGAGTTTAATCACGAGGTACACGGATTCGCCGATAGATAGTTTAGAAGCGGAGGATTTAAAGCATAATATGTATACTCTTCTCTGGAGATCGGAACACTGGTCAGCTGCCTGAGTCTTGCCCGTCTTGCACAAGTAAATTTTATTTATTTATTTTTTTTAATTTTCAATATTTTATCATTTATCAAGTTTTGTGTAATCGTAATTTTTTCTAATTTCTCCGTTGATTTAAGAATTGAAAGTTTTTGATAAAAAAAAATGGAGACGCTATTCTCCACCTGAGAACGGCAAGGTCGGCGCTAGATGGCAGTTGAGTTATTATTATTAACTAAGGAAATGCAAAAAATATTGTGAGAATAATTTAAATTGGGTTTTTAGGGCAATATTTCTAATGCTTTTTATTCAAAAAGTGCTAGTACCGTTATAAGGAAATTAGAAGAAATTAGAATCAAAATATTTTTCTTATATTGTAAGAGAAAATCGTAATTGAAAGAATGCAATCTTACCAGATTTTAGGTTTTAAATTTAATTTTTTATTTTCTTTACAGTAAAAGAAAGTGAAGAAAGAAACCTAAATAAAAATAGGTTATGTTTAAGACAGTTTAACTTTGATAGGAATCAAACTCTAATTATCAGAAAACTGTAATTAACATAACCTAAAAATTTTATACTATAAAGATTTTTAGGTCTCTTTCTTCAGAGTGTGTCACAAATTATTTATTATTTTTTATTTATTTAAAGTGATTCCCAACTCATTAGTTTCGAACTTTTAGTAATTACATACTTATATTAAAAAGAAAAAAGTCTGATCAAAAAAATAAATGCAATTTCGAAACGAAAATTGCATTCCCAAAGAAGTAATCAATAATTGAAAAAAGTATAATTTTTATATAGAATTACGATAATGAATAAAGTCACAAATAGTTTCAGTATTTACGTAAACATTTTTTTTTTTTTTATTAAGACAAACATAGTACTTATAGATTTATAAATAGCAGCTAAAATATGTTTTGCTAAATATATTGCTATATAAATACAAAGCTTCTTTGTGAAGAAGCAAAAAAGAAATGATAAAAAGTCGCTAAAAGATATTATTGAGTATACGTTGCTAAACATTATTGAAAATGTTTTTACTAAAAAAAAATATATATACAGTGAAATTCTTCTACTTAAATATCACAATTGTTTTTTTAAAAAGAACTCGTTCTTAATACATAGTATAAAAATCTAATTGTTAAGAATATATTAACGATATATTAAATAATAATACGTATAATGATCGCAACATAGAATAAAGTTAATATTTGAGAGCACTATTTATTAAAATCACAATACATAAATTAATGTATAATGTATACCAGTTACTAGTTAAAAACTACAAATCACATGTTAAATATTCTAAAATCGAAAACGTCCTTTAAATGAAAAAATTCTTTTAAATATTATAAAAATAAGAATAGAGGACGAGAGAGGTCCTGAAAAACCATCAGTTCCACTCACGTCCTCTATTTTTATTTATCATCAAAAAATATAATTTCGATTATAAATATAGTTAAATTATGGTTTTCTATCTTACTTTCTTTATTTTTATAAAGAATAATGATTCGTCAATTTTCTTCAAGTTTAGTTAATTCGTCTATGTTGTGATCAATAACTCTGTCATTTTCATAACGAAAGTAGCCTTTGAAGAATTTTCCCTTTAACATGTGATCGAACCAAAAACGAGCATCTTCTTTCATTTCCCCAAAAGGGATTTCTTTTATTCCAAACCATTTTGGTTGCATTTCTGCGAAGAAAGCGAAAATTAAAATTTTAATGAAATAAATAACTTTGAAAGTAATTTCAAAAAAAAAAAATTTTTTGACTTTACGAGAAAATTCAAAAATAGCAAAACTAAAAATTCTTTTCTTGTCTCTCTGGAGGGTGAGAAGTAAATTTGTTAAAATTTGTTATAACGAACGGTGAAAAATGCATAATATTAAGATATAGTTATAATTTTAGTGTTAGAAATTAAGGCATCACTTGCGTCCTAACGAAATTATATATGTGACCTGGACAGTGAAAAGGGACCTTACGTGCGAAATCAAGTTTTCGAGAAAACAGTAGTTAAAGTTTAACTTAGAAAAACCCTTGTAACTTTTTTAAATATTAATATTTTTTAATCAATTTAGGCTTATTTTCTTCACCGTGAATCACAGTATCAAAATAAAAAACATACAAGTAATGAAATTTTTTTTTTAATAATTGTGTATATAATTTAATAACAAACTCCCCAAACATAGAAAAAATAATCTAAGTTTTCTAACTAGCAACAATAAGTATAAATAAGTGACACATGTTTGTAAGGGTTTTCGAGGTCGCTGATTACGAATATGATGTTAAATTGACAATTTGACAGTTGACAGCTGTCAACTTCTCTTAACAGTGATCGATTTTGTAAAAAGACAGTAATAAGGTTTTTGAGGTCGCTGATTACGAATATGATATCAAATTTGAATTTTAACTGTTGACAGTTGTCAAAGAAACTGTCAACTTTTCCAAATAATAAAAAATTATCGTCTTCGTTATTTTAATTTGCATAATAACAAAAAATCAGTTTTTTCGTATTTTTACTCTTGTTTCTTTTGACTTTAAAAAATTTTTTTAAAAACTTCTAACCAACTTATGATTTTTTGATTTTTTTTCACCATCGTAAAGAGCGTTTCAAACCCTATCCGAATCAACAAAAAAGTAAAAAATGATTTTTTGACACGTAAGGTCCCTTTTCATAGACCAGGTCACACATACCGAATATTGTGATATTCTTAGGATTATAATAATGTTTTTTAGAGAAAATATCCTAAAGCAATACATAAGTGTTTATACAGAGATTTCTTTTTTTTTTTTTTTTTAAAGTGGTACCTTCGGACTCGATTATAGCTCCGTTATAAGAATAAGTATGTAAAACGTGAACCACTAAAATGGTTTCTTCTTCTCTTCCATGAAAGTGAAGTACTCCAAGTTTTTTCAATTCACCAGTTAAACCACATTCTTCTCTTAATTCTCTATGTCAAATGTTAAAAAATAGTATTTTACAAAAATCGTATATATTATATAAGTGAGCACAAATACAATTTCTATATAATATAGACAAAGTGCTTGCATTTAAAAACTAAAAGAAAATCAACATTTTGATATATTTGGAATTTTTGAATATATGATTCCAATTTTTATTGCGGGAAATTGGAATTTTCTTGCAGGTGTATTTATATATAATAATATTGTAATTAAATTAAAATTATATTATAATTAAATTATAACTATATAATTAATTATTATAATTAAATCATAACTATATAATTAATTATTATACAATTAAAATATATAATTATATTTGTCGCGCTTCGAAGAAAGCGAAGCTAATTTTTTGCTACTTTAAGAAGCAAAGAATTTTAAGGTTATGTTTGTCCTCGTTTTTACTTTAATTAAAAGTTTCTGTATTTAATTTAAGAACGAAATTAGTTTTTTTTTATTTATTTCAGATGTAGTGAAGACAAATATGAGTGGTTTGTAAATTGAGAGTTGATCCCTTTCGTGTATTTTCATTTAAAAATTTACAAACATAACCTAAAATTTGTTCCTTCCATTTTTCTTCTTCGGAGCACGTCATTTATTACAAAATGCTATAAATTAATTATAATAAATTTTAATTATATTATAAATTAAAATTACTATATTGTAATTATGAGCGTAATGTTGACATAAAAAAAATTATTTTCAAAAAATAATTTTCATTTTAGGATATTTAATCTCTATTTTTGGGCTTGATTATGTTTTTTATAATATTTAATCAAATTGCGTAATTATATTCGAAAGGTTTTTTCATTCGATATTATATTAGAATAGATGTTGTAGAATAACTATTGTGATATTTTTAACCCAGGCATTAAAAGTGAATTATTTATCGTCGCTTATCTATTTATTTTCATATATTTAAATATTACTCAGTCGCAGTACTCATTTTATACTATATACATTTATTTTGAAAAGCAACTAGTCTTTTTTTTGAAAAAGCATTATTATATTGTTGGTTCATTGTAGTAAGGTATTAAAAAAATGAAAGGAAAACAATGTTGACCTCAATAAATCTAATCTTAAAACAATGAGTTTCATTATTAATTAATGATATTAGTTCATTTTTACCAACTAAAATATTTTCTTTTTAAAATAGAATGTTTAAAATTTTTTCGAATGTCTTTGATTATAAATATAGTAATCGAATTTTCAATAATTAATTACTAAAGTTTTTTAAATAAAATTTAAATTAATTACTTATGAATTAATTATGAATTAATTAATTAGGAATAAATTACTTAATTAATTAAATATAGAGCTTATTTATTTATAACGACAATAATTTATGGTAAACTATATTAATTTATAAAAAATAAATAGTATAATAAAATTAATACAGTTTACCGTAAATTAATATTATTACCAATAGACTTTATAATTAATTAATTAATTAAAATTGTATTTTGTAAATTTTAATAGTTAGATAATTATAGAGTATATTGATAATAAAATTAATATAGTTTACTGTGAAATAATTTTATTATAAATAAACTCTACAATTATTTAATAAATTAAAGTTTTATTTGAAAATAAATTAATTTAATTAATTTATTTATTGTTTTAAATTCTGATATTTTTAGAATTGAATAGCAAAATAAATTAAATTTTAAAAAACATTTGTAGTCAACGATAATATTTTTATTATACAATTCATTTTTCATAACTTAATATTATAGTTTACTATAATTTTTGTTTATATTTGATTTATTTTGTTTTTGTTTTTTAATTATGTTTATGATTTGGTATAAATTGAATGTCAGAATTTTAAATAATTATTTATTAAAATTTCTAAAATAAAATATTAATTTATTAATTAATTATACAATTTATTTATAATAAGAATAATTTTTGTAAACTATGTTAGTTTACAGTAAATAAATTTGATATTTTGTTAAATTATAAAATATTTAATTATTTATTTTTTAAATTTAATTATAAAATATATTATTAAATTAAAATTAATATAAAATTAGAGAAAAAATTAATTTAAACTAAATAAATTTTATAATTTATTAATTATAAAATGATAATTTTAATCGTTTCATTTTTATTATTAGAGATACATTGTAAATTAGGTACAAAAATATTTTTTAATTCGAATTTTTTAATTAATTATTACGAAAATTTGAAAAAGAAAATTTTAATTTATTAATTAATTACAAAGTTTATTTATAATAAAATTAATTTATAACATATTATGTTAATTTATAATGAAGAAATTTTATAGTTTATAAAATTATAATTTTTTTATAAACTATTTAATTAAAAAATAAAAAATTTATTGTAAAAATTGTTGAAAAAGAGTTGAAAAATAAATTGTTAATATATTAATTACAGTTTATTTATCAATCTATTGATATTTATATATTAATATGTTTACAAATTTTTAATTTATTTAATTCGTTTATTTATATTTATTTACTTTAAAAAATTAATTTATGGTAAACTACATTAATTTATAATAAATAAATTTTGTAGTTTATAAAATTATTATTTAATATAAATAAACTCTATCATTAATTAATAAATGAATTTTTTTTAATTTTAGTCATTAATTATTAATTCTATTATAGAATTTATAATCAGAAAGCAAAATAAAATTAATTTATTAGAAAATTTATTTAAATTGTTGTTATTAAATAATAACAATAAAAGTAGCAATACAAATTATTATTATTATTATTATTATCATTATTATTATTGTTATTATTATTATATTAAATAATAATAATTAATAACTTAAATAATAATTATTATAAATAAGTTTTATTTTTAAATTATTATTTCAATTACAAAAATTATTATTTACTTTGAAATTGAATTTTATTCTATTTCTACTTAAATTTAAAAACTAATTTATTTTTTCGCAATTAATTATAATAATTAATTAGGGAAAATTACCGTAATGCTCCTTCGAGAATCGATTCATTTATTTCCACTTTGCCACCAAAACCATTCCACATTCCTTGGTCGAATCCCTTCTTTTTTAAACCCAACAGTATTTGTGGATTTCCCCCATTTTCATTTTTCACAAATACTAAAGTAAAAAGCTTTTCTTTTTCTGATGCCATCATAGATGGATATTCAACTCTTTACAAGGTAAGAGAAATCTATCTAAAGAATGAAAAAAACAGCTTTCTCTTCATGAATGAAAAACAGTTAAATACAAGGAGAAAATTTTTGTATTTTATACTCATTTTTAATATAATTAAAAATTAGAATCTATTTTTTCTATTTTAATATAATTTTTTATTTACCCTTTTTTTAAATTTAAAAAATGATTTTTTCATTTCGAATTTAGAAGAAAAGAAATTAAATCTTTTCTTTCATTTGAATGATTTTGAATTACGCGCGATTAGTCACGTGGCTTGAGAATAACTACTTTAGTCAAATTACGGACAAGAATAGGGTATTATTGTACATTTTGGAGAAAATTAGGATTTCTTTTGTAATAATCGAACTGTAATCGATTATTGAACTTTTAGTTTTGTTTTTATTTAAAAATTAATTTTTGACAATATGTTTAATTACGGTTTATGGAGAATTACGAGATTTACAATGATGTTTGTCACATGACAGCTGTTTGCTGACGTCACACACGAGAAAGCAGCGCCACGTAACGGTTATATTTTCAATTATCATTTTGTGTGTTGTGTGCAGCAGTAAAAGTAAACTGAACCTCAAAATTTTCATGAATTGTTAATTTTTTTTCTAAATTGTATATTAAATAATTTTCGAATTATAGCAAAAAGTTTTAGTGTTAGATAGTGAAAAATTAGTGACAATTTTCAATAGTGAGAAAATGGACTCATGGTGGTTATATTTAGTAGTTTCGGCAACTACTTTGTGTTTCGCCAAGAGCCACGTAGCCGGCTCCAAGGTGATTAGCATTCGTGGTATACATCCGACAAAGATTCCACTTTATTCACCGGATCAAGATTTTCATTGTCTTGATGGTAGTTTAATTATTTCGTTTAGTAAAGTTAACGATGACTATTGTGACTGTGTAGACGGCAGTGATGAACCCGGAACATCGGCCTGCTCAAACGGTTCATTTTACTGTCAAAATTTGAGTTATAAGCCGAAATACATTCCCTCGGGAAGAGTGAACGATGGTGTTTGTGATTGTTGTGATGCCAGTGATGAGTATGATTCGAATTTGTGTGTAAATAATTGTTACGATCTTGGACATTTGGCGAAACTCAAAGCTGACGAGGCGCAAAAAGTCGCACGTGAGGGAAATGATATTCGCAATGAAATGGTGGCAAAAGGTATTAATTGTTTATTATTTTTTATTATTTAATAAATTAATACTTTGATTAATTTATATCAATTTGAATTTATCACTCGGTGGTATTTAATTAATTTTCTTTTTTAATTTTAACTTTTTCTTTTAATTTTAATTTTAATTTAATTTATGTAATGAACATTTTTAATTTAATAACTTCTTTTTTTTAGGTAAACAAATAAAAAGTGAACTGCAGCAAAAATTATCGAAACTTCGTACCGATCATGAGGAATCGGAATTAATAAAAAAGGAGAAGGAGGGTTTGAAGAAGGATGCTGAGGAGAAGGAGAAAATTGCTCTAGATAAATACAAACCCCCAGAACCAGAGCAAACTGAAAGTGAAAATGAACAAGTACGTGAAGAGAAACCAAATGAAGCTGAAGATTATTTCAAACTTTTGGACTCTGATGAAAGTGGTACTGTAACTATTGTTGAATTGCAAACGAGAATTACATTTGACAGAGACAGAAATGGTCAAGTTTCTGAGGAAGAAGCGCTCTACTTCTTGAACAATCGGCCAGAATTAACAATGCAAGAATTTATTGACTCAGCTTGGAAGAATATCAAACCATTCCTCATGTTAGAAAAAGGTGAAAATCATTTTTTTTTTACTAAATTTTATTTACTCTATTTTCTTATCTATTTTAATTTTTTATTCATTTTATCTATACTTTTATCTATTATCTTTATTTTATTTTTCATTATCCACAAGTTTCGAACATTCAAATGAAAGAAATATTTTTTATTAACAATCTTTTCATATACATTTTATTTTTACATTCTTTACAAATTTTGCACGTTTATGAACGAAATATTTTTTATGAAAATTATTTTCATAAATTACTGATTGCAATAAAAATTAAAAACTTTATTTTTACATTTAGAAACTTTAAAAATTATTTTTTTCGACAGTGACTCAAAATTATTTTGTAATAAAAAATTAATTTCAAGAAGAAGTAAAATTTTGAGAAATTTGCACAACTTTAAATTCGTTAAAAGTTAAAATAAACAAATTTTCCAATCAAAATTCGATTTTATAAAATTGAAAAATTATTTTATTAAAATTTCCTTAAAGAATGCAATTATTTAGAAGAATTTTAATAAAATTCTTCGCAAAAATTCAATTATTTTCATAAATAATAAAAGTTTTACAGAAATTGAATGATTAAAAATACAATTTTAAATTGTTTCGAAGAAAATCAATTATATAAAAGAATTATTTTTAAATTCTTCCCGGGAATTCAATTATTGTCAATGCAATTTTAATAAAATTTCTTGAAAGAATTCAATTTTTTTCAAAAAATTTTATAGAATTCTTCGCAAGAATTTAATTATTTAAGTAAATAATAAAAATTATCGGAGAATTTCAATTCTTTGTAAATTTTAATACAATTTTTTAAAATTCAATATTTTCAGTATTTTCAATTGCATATTTCCAAAAATTCAAATACATAAAAAAATAATAAAATTTTACAATTTTTTTTAACATTTTGGAGCAAACAATCATGTTCAAAATATTTAATTAAAATTCATCTAGAAATTAATTAGTTTGTTTAAATTATACAAAAATTCTTTTAAGAAATTCAATTATTTTTGAAAAATTGCATTAAAAAATTTGAAAAACTAATTATTAGAATTGCTTTATAATAATTTTTTAAGATTCAATTATCTTCGAACAGTGTAAATAAAAATTTATGAAAATTTACTTTTTAGACTTACATATTAAAATTTTTGAGAAATCATGGTCCTGTTTATAATTAAAATTCTTCACAAATTTGATCATTTTTATTTATATTTTTCAAACATTCAATTATTTTTAAAAGATTTTACCAAAATTTTAATTGTTTGGAAATTTTTCAAAATTGAAAAACTGTTATCTTTCAAAACTTATTTAAAAATATTTTTAAAAAATTAATTGTAAGAATTTCTTTATAATTTTTTGAAAATATTATATTATCTTAATAATTTAAAAAAAACTGAGTTTTTATATTTAAATAATTGAATTCTAAAAGAACTTTTGGAAAATTATTTAAAATAATCAATTTAGAGATAAAGTATAAGTTGAAAATTGTAGAAAATAATTGAATTCAGAAAGGATTATAATTGTAAATGTTAGAAATTATTAAAATTAATAAATTTTACTTATTTTTCGTAAACATTCGTATTTTCCTGTAAAAAGAATTTTGTCAGGCAGAATAATTTTAAAGTCAGTAAATTGTCAGGGAAATTGATAAACTGAATCTTGTGACCACCCTGATTATGACCTGGAAAAATAATTCATGACTTTTGGAATGGACCGGAAAATGACCGTGAATTTTTTATTATAAAAAAAAGTGGCCACCCTGCTGTGAGATTTATTTTTCTGTTTTAATTCATTTCAGTAGAATAAAATGAAATTATATTTCCAGGTCTCTTCAAGCCGGCAGGTGACGAGCCACAGGAGGCAAATGCAGAGGAAGCGCAAAACGCTGATCACGTTGAAGGAGATGAACAAGAGGATCATGATGAACATGAAGATCATGACGATCATGACGATCATGACGATCATGACGATCAAGAAGACCATGAGGGAGAAGGCGAGGAAGAAGGCGAGATAGAGAGAGGAGAGGACAAAGAGGAACGTGTACCAGAACCGGAAGAACCCGCCAAGTACGATGAAGAGACTCAAGCTCTCGTCGATCAGGCGAACGCTGCGAGAAATCGTTTCAACGAAGCTGACAAAGCAGTTCAAGATCTTCTCACAGACATTAAAAAAGTGGAGGAAAAATTATCCGTAGATTATGGAATTGACGGTGAATTCACCGCACTCGACGAGCAGTGTTTCGATTACACGGATTTGGAATACGTTTACACACTCTGTATGTTTGGAAAAGCAACTCAAAGATCTAAAAACGGAGGCAGTGACGTTAATCTTGGTTCCTGGAGCAATTGGCACGGTCCAGAGGAAAATAAATATTCAAAAATGAAGTACGATCACGGTTACACTTGCTGGAATGGACCGGCGCGTTCTACAATCGTTACATTAATTTGTGGAATGGAAAATAAACTTCTATCAGTTACTGAACCAAGTCGCTGTGAATATGCAATGGAACTGTCAACACCTTCAGTTTGTAAATTAATGCCAGAAATTCTCGATACACACGATGAATTGTGAAAACACACTTTTCTTACGTATATTTTTTTTTAAATAAAATATTTTGGTGTTTTTATGTAAAACAGACACACAACAAAACTGGTAAACACAGTAATGAACTAAAAAACATTTTTGCAAAAAAAAAAAGAATAAATCGAATTTTAAGAGATTAAAATTCGATATTTTGCACACAAACACACACACTTTATTCTGTATATGATGGAACTCTAGTTTACAAGATAGGTAATTTTATTTACTTTTTATTTACATTTATTATGTGTATATCTATTTGATAAGAAATCATTTTTGCTCAGTGACTAATCGCGTACGTAATTGACACATCGAATCAGTTTTATTAATTGTAGATTAATATTATATTTTAATTTATTATCAATTAAATTCTACAAGGGAATTTGTCACGGATCAGATAAACTAGTATTTTCTATTCTATAATTGTTTCAGTTAATTTAAAATTTAAAAACTAGAAAAGTAGATAAAAAGTGCAAATGTTCTTTTTATATTTTGAATTATAATTTTATTGAAAAATAACATCAGGAATACCATGTTGATATTTTTCGATAAAATTATAAAGTCATTGGGAAAATGAAATATTAAACAAAATTTTGAACAGTCAAATGAACGAAATATTTTTTTATTAAAAATATAAATTTGATTGCAATAAAAATTGAAAAAACAAATTTTTTCTTACAAAGTTAATGATTAATTTTCTTGATAGTGACGAAAATTTATTGTAATAAATTATAATTAATTACTTATTCAACTAATTAGTTAATTAAATTATAAAAAAATTACCCTTGGAATTTAATTGATTGAAATCATAGAATCGAAAATTTCTTTAATTCCACGGATTTAACTTTAATAATTATTTTAAGTTCTGATATTCTATAACTTTTCTTACTTTATAGATAAGTATTAAAAAATCCTGATTTTCAAATCGAAAATTTTAATAGAGTTTTCTGCTAAAAAAAATTTTGTGACAAAAATTTTTAAGTTTTTAAATCTTTTAAACTTTTTTTTTTCTCCTACAACAGAAAATTGTATTAGAATCTTCGATTCAATTACTGGAAAAATTGATTCTAAAATCGGGAGTTGTCATCAATTTAACAGAATTAATAAAATAAATAAACGGATATACGAACAGTGCTAAAAGTTGAAACTTCTGTGATGAAAAATTTATCAATTTACTTAAAAAAAAAAACGTGAAACAATGAGTATAATTTTCATTACTTATATAATATTCCAATGAATTTCACATTATAGGACTCTATATACAGTAGAGAGAATATCTTTCAAATAAATTTTTGTATATACGTATATAAAAGAAATAGGAGAAAAAAAGGATTCGAAAAGCATAGAAAAAACAATTCCTTCGTGTTTTACATCCTTTTCTTCTCATTAATTGAAGCAATAAGAATTTATAGCATTTAAACACCAAAAATTGTCAAACGTTTATTGTTTGATATTTATTGTGAATTTGAAGGGAAAAGTGAATTTTTTTTCCACTTCAAATATTACGATTTAAGTGAACATTTATTATAAAGAAAAATGATAAATACAGTGTTTAAATTTAAAATTAAATTGTTGAATGTTTGAAATTAATTCACCTTGAAATTAATTATAAAAAAAATTGACTGTGCTTTTTTTGGGCTGCACTTATTTAAACTAATGAAAATTTAACAAATGATTAATTTTACTGTACTACACTAGCAACAATTAGACTTCTGACTTCTTACTCACTTTTTTAAATACAGGCAAACCTCTCCACGGCGGAAAGCAATTTGACGATTCCGTCGTAGAGAGGTTCGTTAAATGTTATTAGTGAGTGAACGTTCAGAGATGTATCAACAATTTTTATGAAATAGAAATTATAATAATTTATTAATAACTTTATTTAAAAATATGCTTGCAATACTGTCTTTTAGATACAGTAAAAAAATAAAATGTAATTAATATAATTATTTTTTTTTAAATTACTTTGACTTGTTTTCCTATTTATTTTATCATTTTTATGTTTATTTTTTATAGTATACAAAATATATTATTAAATAAACAAGAATTATACATCAAATAAAAAATAAGTAATTTAAATGTCACATAATTTTTATTTGTAATTATTTAGATTTGTATTTTAATTAATTTATAATTGTTTATGTTTATTTTTTGTAATATAAAAATATATTACAAAATAAACAAAAATTATAAATCAAATATAAATTAAATAATTTAAATAAAAAAGCATCTGTATAAAAATTAAAATTCGGAACTTTTCGGCCATGAATTTCATGGCACCCACACAGTCAAAATTTTAATTTAAATTTTTTTTTATAAAAATAAAATATGAATTGAAATATATAGTTTTAATATTATTATAATTATAATAATCATATATTCTGACATAGGGAATTCAGGGAAAAGTCAGGAATTTTTATTGAAAGTACTGAAAAAATTACATTTTTAGAATTCATAAGAAAATTCTGAATTTTTGGGTCTTTTTTGTTTGATTTATAAACTATAAAATTACCACGAATTCTAATACAAAACCTTCAATTTTTTCAATTTTTGATAAAAATTTCTTTTGAAATAACTTAAATCTTGAACAACTATCATAAAATAAATAAATTATTTAATGAATAATTTTACTTAAATATTTCAAAATTAATTCAATTTTAAAAGAGTTGCGTTTACAATTTTCAAAAATAAATGAACTTCAAATGGTTTCAATTTGAAATTTTATAAAATTTCAATGTGGAATGAATTTAATTAGAAATTTTAATAAACTTAGATTTTTGTAAAATTTTAATAATTCAAAATCTTCTAAAATTAGTTAAATTTGTCAATATATTTTTAATTAATTATTAAAAATAATTAATTTACAGAAGAATTTTAGTTAACAACACGAAAAAAAATTGAATTTTGGAGATGTTACAAATTATTACAGAAAATTCAATTATTTTTCAAAATTTTAATAAAATTTTGGCAAAATTTTAATTATTTTCAAAAATTTTTCCTAAATTCAATGATTTTCAACATCAACAGTTTTAATAAAATTTGGCAAAAGAATTCAATTATTTAAAAAAGTTTTAGTGAAATTCTAGGCAAACAAAATTATTTTCAAAAATAATTAAAATTGCGCAGGGATTTAATTATTTACAATTTTTTTTATCAATTTCTTCGTAATAATTCAATTATTTTCATAAATAATAAAAATCATTGCAAAATTTTAATTATTTTTTATACAATTTTACGGGCATTGCTCAAAAAATGTAATTATTCTTAAAACTTTTATTAAAATTCGTCAAAAGGTTTCAATTATTTAAAAACTTGTTGTTACGCGCGATTCGCGGTGTTTCATTTATTATTATTATTATGCAAATTCAATTATTTTCAAAAGTAAAAATTCTTATCATAAAATTCAATTATATTCCAAATTTATAAAAATATCCCGACAAAATCCCAATTATTATCGTTACAAATAAAAAAATTCTTCAAAATTCAATTATTTTCAAAACTTTTAATAAAATTGTTGGCAACATTTCAATTATTTTCAAAAATTTTCCTCAATTCGATTATTTTTAATATCTACTATTTTAATAAAATTATCCAAAAGAATTCAATTATTTAAAAAAAATTTTAATAAAATTGTACGCAAACATTTCATTATTTTCATAAATAATAAAATAAAATTCTTTATAAGAATTAAATTTTAAGAAACATTAACATATTCAATAACTAATTTACTTTTGAATTTTAAATAATTTAATTTTCGTAAAATTTTCTAATAAAAATTGATTTGAAAATGAATTTAAGTTTAAATTTTAGATAATAATAGAATATGAAAATAATTTTTAAGAAGTTACAGTAACAATATTTTTGTAATTTAAAATACTTAATGATTTTATCACTCGGTCATCTTTAATTATTATAAAACACGAAGAAATCGATCACTCCGAGTCTTCGACTCGGAGCAATCGATTTCTTCATGTTTTATAACAATAATTTTATCAGTTGTTTTATTTAAAAAAAAAGTTTGAATTTGAGATTTTTGAAAATCTTAATTCCTATGGAAAAGTAATAATAATTAAATATTTAAAATATTTAAAAAAGAAATTATTGTTTTCGAATAATTTTACAATTAAAGATATGGGCATATCTCTAGAACCTTTAACTTTTCAATGAGAAAAAATTTGTTAATTTTTTATTGAGCACAGTATTGAAACTCTGTCTACATAAACTTTAAGAAATAAGCTTTCAAAATATCCAAGTGGACAGATAAAATGATTCGTCTTCAAAAAGTTATAAACTATTTAAAATTGCGAATTATTTTTAACGTGCAACAAAAAAATATTTAACAGGTGTTTGTTTTTTAGAATCGAAAACAGTTGAAAGTAATTAACTGAGGGGTTATAATTTATAATATAATAATTATATTATTATATAATATATTACTTTTGTATTTATTATATTATTACTAGTCATTAACATTACTTTTCTTTTATTTTTTGTTTGAATTACTAAAAAATTAAAATGGTTTTTATTTTAAAAATAGATTTTAATTAAACTGAATTGTAAAAATATGAAATTATAATGTATAAAGTTTACCTTGCAATTTCCAGATACATTTTATTTAAATTTAACACTCATAAACTTTCCAATTTCTATTCATTTTTTTCTATTTTTCTTTTTTCTTATATATCTTATTTTTTTCGATCATTTATTCTGTCTAAAAAATCAAAATATAAACATTGAAACTTAACCTTCAGTTTTATTTATTAACAGTTTCTATAAAAAAGTGAGAATCGACAACTTCATACTTAACAATTTCTTTTCTAAAAACTTTTGGTTGATTACGGTCGACCGTAATTGACAAATATTTTTACATTATCTTTGCAATAAAGTATTTTTTCTTGAAGCACATTCACGGGATGTTAAATGGCACATGCGAAAATATTTACAAGTACTTTTAAAATACTTTTATTTGATTTTCGTGGAGTATCACTCGAATTACGGTCGTTTTCAAATTTTGTACGCGCGTGTTTTCTGTTATTTAAATTACAACAGTTTTTTGAAGACACGAGGCACATCAATTTACTATGTCTCAAAATAATTCTAATAATTTGAACTTTTATTTCCCGTAAGTCATTTTGATGTGCCATTTGTCTTATTAATGAAAAATGATAAATATCTCGATTACGATCAAAAAGGTTAAAAGTGAGGGACAACGTTTGAAAGCTTATAACTTTTTTCAAAATTAACAAATTTTTAATTTTCATACGGAAAAGTGTTCACTGTTTAATTAACTTTAAAAAGATGCGTCTTAGAATTAGTAACTCTTATTCATTACAAAGTTTTATCGTTTAACCCATCCGAGAGTATGGTTAGGGACAAGTAGATATTGTAAAAAATCGGGCACTCAGATTGGAATAATTATTGATATATTTAATAAATTAATGTAAAACCTTTTGGAACTGATTCATCTTATCAAGCTTTAATATTTCCAACAAAAATAAAGTAAAAAGTTATTGAAATTATCGAAATATATGCGAGGGACATGAAAGTTAAAGGTTCCAGAGATATGCCCATATTCGTAAATAAATTTAACATAACATTTTTTTCAATAAAATGTTTTCCCTTATTTTCTAAAAATTCAAAAATTTTCAGTTTCATTTTCAAATAAATTTTCTAATTGACAAATATAATTAAACATTTTTTTCCTTTATTTTTAAAAAACTTTGAATTTTATTAAAGCAATTGAAATTAAGAAATAAAATTGATGCAAATTATTTCCTTGTGAAAATTGAAAATTTTCTTCAAAAATATTAAGAAACGGAAATATCTAATGTTTTTCATTCCAAAAGAAAAAAATGAGTTTGTAAACAATATTTTTAATGAGAAATAAAAATTATTCATAAAATGGGAATATTTCCTACTTCTTAATAAAATTTTTTTAACAATTAACAATTTTCTAGTATTTTTTATAAATAAAAAGAAGAATAATTTGCATAATAATTTAGACCAGTCAAACGAAATTTGTTATAGAAGAAAGCATATAACAAAATGGGTATATTTTTTATTTGTTAATCATAATTTTTTTTTAATTTTCTAATTTGTAATATTATTTTATTATATATCATAAAAAAATACCTGCAAATTTTCAATTTGTCAAACAATATTTAAAAAAAAACAAAAGCATACACAGAAACTAACTTCAAATTACGGACAGAATGAATGAAAGAATACGGAGATTAATTTTACTGTATGTACTACATTTTTAGTTCGGTAAAATTTATTATATTTAGTTTCGTAAACTTTTCCTAATTTGATTCTCTAAATTAGAAAAAGGCGAACGATTTGATTTCAGAAATAAAGAAAAAGATGATCAGTTTGATTTTAAATCTCAGAAAAAGATGATAATTTCAAGAATTAAAAAACAAGACGATAAATTTGATTTTTGGGCATTTACTTTATTTACAATTATGATATTTATATATGCTACTGTACAACAATAACTTGTGTTGTAATCATGTTCTAAATTCTATGACAAGCATAAGTCGTTTTAATATTTTACTGTCATGAACGTTGTAAATTCACTCACTGTTTTTCTTTTAATTTATCAATACACAGTACAATAATAAAGCAACAGTTAGATTTTCTTTCCTTGTAAATTTTTTTTCTTTTTTTTTTGACAAAAATATATAAAAACGGAGACAAAATTTAAATATTATCAATTCTCTTTAAATGCATATTAATCAAAGCAACTATTTTGTAAAAAAAAACAATTTGAAATTAATAAATTATATAAATATTGTACACATATACGAATTCTGCAATCGAAACTACAAATAGAATTTTAAAAAATTTTCTCTATAACAATAAACAATTGTGCTCTGCACAAATATAATTATTTTTTCAATTTTGACTTTGTTTTGTGGGTGAAATTTCGAACGTTTATTATCAACGATTGGAAGAAAAAAAATAGTTTTTAGACAAAAAAAGGTATTTTTTGTTCAGAATTATTTTTATATTTTTTTGTAAGTGTTTTTTACTTTTTTTTGCATTTTTTTGTGGGGGGGGGGGATTTCCTTTAAGTTTTCTTTTAAGTCGATGAAGAATCATTGGGAAAATTTTCTTAGGAGAAAAATTGTAATAGACAAATATTTTTTCTTCTATTTTTGTTGATTATAATCGTTGTAAATTTCACCAACGTTAGATTAATATAATTTGCAAACCTCTTGACAAGGTTTTTTGATTTTCTTTCTCTCGAAATAATTTTTTTTTTAGGGAAATTTATTCCAACAACAAAAATTTATATATCACTTTTTTCTTAAAAAAGTTTGGAGTAATTTTCAAAAAAAAAGGATTTTTTTTTATTTGCCAAGTCTCTCGAACATAATCAATTTCTCTTTAAAGCTCTTGGTATCGGTTGACACCTCCGATATGTTTCCATTAAGCATATTCTGTAAGTCCTCGTCATTTTTATTCGATAGTAAATTGTTAAAGAGCATTTTGTTATCTTCAGGTTTCACTAGTGGTGACGTTGGAGGTGAGGTTTGATTTTTCTTCAAAAATACATTAGTTCCACGTTGATTGTTGCCATTATCACTTGCCATTTGTGTCACTATCGTGATAGCCAATAATTGATGTATGTCGAGATTTTCCTTTGATTCAGACGATTGTCTCCAATATGATTTGTCATTAGAGATCACAGAATTATTTTCTTCATTACCATCGGCGTTCGCCGATTCCTCCGTCGACGTACTGTCAAACAATGGGTCCTGAAATTAAACAGAAAATTTAGAAAATGTACCTGAAGTTTTTGCTTCGGAAAAAAATACTTTCGTTCGTTTGAATTCGGAATTACAAATTTCCGATTCGGAACTATTTTGAGGCAGGGTTGCCACAAAAATTTAATTTTGTTTTTTAATGACTTTTCCTTGATTTTCAGACAAAAATTTTTTAAAATAAATATTTAATCATTATTATTTTTCCGTAGAAATAAAAATTTTTCAAAACATTCAAATTCAAACCTTTTGAAATTCAATACTGTAACTTCTTCAAAATTATTTTCATCATTTCAATTCAATTATTATTTTCTACAATTTTTAACTAAAATTCTTGTTTAAATCAATTGTTTTTAATAATTTTTCAAAAAGTTCATTGAGAATTTTCAAATCCATTAGTTTACAATTCAATTTTATGAAATTTCAATTATTCTGCAATTCTTCAATTAAATATATATGAGAAAATAAAAACTTGAAATAATTTCAAAATAAAATTCAATTAATTTTTCAAAAAAATTAATTCTACAAAATAGTTAAAATAAAAACTATGATATGATTCAGCTTTTCAAAGATTTTAATTTAAAACCTTTTAAAAATTCAATTATTACTAAAAATTCGTGCTATAATGCCTTTAATATTTAATTATCTAAAATTTTAACTATAAAATTCATTTTTAAATCAATTTTCATTAGAAAATTCTGCGAGAATCCAATTATATAAATACAAAAATAAATAATTTATTGAATAATTGAATGTTTCTTAAAATTCAATTCTCGTAAAGAATTTTATCAACAAATTTTGAAATAATTAAATTCTTCTGACGAATTGTATAAAAGTTTTTAAGAATAATTATATTTTTCGAGAAATTTGACTAAAATTGTATGAAAAATAATTGAAATTCTGCTATGAGTTTTATTATTTATGAAAATAATTAGATTCCTAAATAAAATTATTAAAATAGTAGATTTTTTTATTGAAAATGATTGAATTGAGGATAATTTTTTAATATAATTGAAACTTTGAGCATGAATGTTATTAAAATTTTTTAAATTAATTAAATTTCGAAGAAGAATTTTATTATTTATAAAGATAAATTATTATGAATTCCTGCAAAAAATATTGTTATTTATAAAAAAATTAAATGTCTGCTAAGAATTTTATTAATTTGGAAATAATTGAATTGTCAAGAATTTTATTAAAATTTTCGAAATTAATTGAATTCTTTCGAGGAATTTAATTAAAATTGTATTGATAGATTTCAATTCGCATAACAAATTTAATCAATATTTTTAATAATAATTGGATTTTTTTTAGAAATTTTATTGAAATTGTGTTGAGAATATAATTCAATTACTGCAAAAAATTTTATTAAAGTTTCTGAAAACAATAAATAATAATAATTAATTAGTAAATTTTTTAATAATTGAATTTTTGTAATTTTGAATCTGAAATTATTCCAGAATTAAAATTAATATTTGAAAATAACTTTTTTTCAATTTGCATAATAAATGAAACACCGTGATTCGCGCGTGACAACAAATTTTTAAATAAAAGACACCTTTCAACAAATTTTAATAGAATTTTTTAAAATATTTACATTTTTTGAGAAATGCGATTAAAATTGAATTAAAAATAATTGTAATTTTGCAATGATTTTTATTATTTATGAAAATAATTGAATCTCTGCAAATAAAAAAATTTCTTATTTATGAAAATATGTAATTTTGTTTGCGTAGAATTTCATTAAAAATTTTTTAAATAATTAAATTTTTTTGACAAATTTTATTAAAACTGTAGAATTTAACTGAAATGTATTTTTAATTCAATTATTTAAATAAATAAAATAATTTATTGAATAATTGAATTCTCATAAAGAATTTTATCAACAAATTTTTAAATAATTGAATTCTTTCGACGAATTTTAATAAAAGTTTTAAGAATAATTACACTTTTCGAAGCATTCCATTAAAGTTTTATTCAAATTCAGCATTGAGTTTTATTATTTATAAAAATAATTGAATTCCTAAAAAGAATTTTATTACTTATGAAAATAATTGAATTTCTGCAATCATTTGTAATTTCTCCAAAATTCAATTCTTTTTAGTGTTTTTATCTAAAATTTTTCTATAAATCCATTATTTTCAATACTTAATTACATATGTATTAAAAAATGTAACTGATTTCAGTAGAAGAATTATTAAAATTTGTGAAAAATCTAAGTCTTTAAAATTTCTAAGTAATTAAATTATTTCAAAACTGAAATTTTAAAATTCAAAAGTTTGAAATTTTTGAAGTAAAATTATTCATTAAATAATTTCTAAGTAATAATTCTCTAGTAGTTCTTCAAGAATTAAGTTATTTAAAAAGAAATTATTGTCAGAAATAGAAAAAATTGAAGGTTTTGTAGAATTCGTATTAGAATTCGTGGTAATTTTATGAGGCAAACAAAAAAGGTATCAAAATTCAGAATTTTGTTATAAATTCTAAAATTGAAATTTTTCCAGTACTTTTAATAAAAATTCCCGATTTTTCCCTGAATTCCCTGACCCGTGGTAACCCTGTTGAGGTTGTACAAAAAAAACTTACGGATTTATCCCCCCGGTCAGTGGCATTATCCATGATTTCATTCTCCCTTCTATCTTGTTCGAGATCCTTTTCTAAACTATCGAGAGTCTCTGTACTGTCGGAGGATTTATTTCTTCTATCGGAACCGAGAGTATCAGTGCTTCCAAGTTCCGAACTTTCCGATGACTTTTGAAGTCTTGGCTTTGGAACAGGAGTTGGTCGTCTCTCTTCGCATTGTGCAATGATTGGCGATGAATCGACGAGATTTTTACTTGGAATTCTCTTGGGTGGTCTTCTCACTCGTCGACTTTCTGGTATTTCGTCGAGTTCAGGATTATCGGAACTTTCCGACGAACGCCAAAAGTTCTTTTTAAATTCCACGTCAACATCCATTGGTTTCGTTTCCACAGCTTCGAGTCTATCAAAACTATCCGTGGATTCGGAAAATAGTTTGCAACGCGTTCTCCTGTCCCGCGAGAGATTTATATCCGAAGCGCTACATCTTTTCTGTAGTGAAACTATTTCCTCGGACTTTTGATGATGACCGAGTGCCTCGAAGTTCTCGGTTGACTTAGACATCACTTTCGCCGCGGACCTGGAAATTATTTTCGATTACACATTTCTTTTTCTGTTTTTATTTTTTCTATTAATATAATTACTATTAATTGAATATTACTTATTGAATATTAATTATTAAAAATTACAATTTTTGATTTGTTTCTGTTTTTTTTTTAGAAATTTACCTGCGTGGTCTGAAATCAAAGCTACTGCGACGACGTTCGATAGAATCGTCACTAGTGAGAGCGTCGATGACTTCCAAACTGTCCGAAGATTTTGAGACTCGATCGATGCTCTTTGAAATTGGATTCAAAAATCGTCTCGTCGACGATTTTTGTTTCGTCTCCTCATTCTCGACGAGTTTGTCGAAACCCTCCGTCGATTTGGAGAACCATGGTAACGAATTTTCGAGACTGTCAGGAGACTTGGAGAGTCGATTTGAAGACGATCTTCGCCGTGGTAATTTAATTTCCATCTTCTCCAAAATGTCCGAACCTTTCGAAGTTCGATTAGAAGGCCTGCAAGTAGAAAATAGAATTAAATTAAAATATTTATCTTTACGATCTTTATTAAGATTTTTATCTTAATCGTCAAAGAGTCTCTCCTTTCTTAATTGATCTCATTAATTTTAACTTCCAACAATCTTCGTTCAGAATCTCATCTTCTAATCTTCTTCTTTGGCTACAATTTTATTTTCTATTTTACAGGGCTCGAACTATAAATCCGTAAATGTCGTAAAGTCAGTTTTTTTTTTAAAAAAGGTCCGTAAAGTCCGTAATTTGATTGAGAAAAGACGAAAAGTTCGTAAATTGTACGATATAATTCGGAGAATTTTAAAGAAATTACAAATTATTGCAGAAATTCAATTATTTTCAAAAGTAATATAATTCTTCGCAGAAATTCAACTATGTTCAAAAATTTTTAAAAATTCTCGTCGAAATTTCAATTATCTTTAGAAATAATTAAATTCTTCTCAGAAATTCAATTTAATTTCAAAAATTTTAATAAAATTCTTTGCAAAATTTCAATTATTTTCAATTCCTGAATTCAATGATTTTTAATATCTACTATTTTAATAAAATTTGACAAAAGAATTTAATTATTTCAAAAAAATTTAATAAAGTTCTACGCAAACCTTTAATTATTTTTATAAAATAATAAAAATTCCACAAGAATTAAATTATTTACAAATTTTTTATAAATTTGTTCGCAGTCGTTCAATTATTTTTATAAATAATAAAATTTTTACAAGAATTCAATTATTTTTATAAGTAATTAAACTCATAGCGGAATTTCCATTATTTTAAATACAATTTTAATCTTATTAAACTTGTAATCTTACATTAAACAATTTTAATGTAATTATTCTTAAAAATTTGATTAAAATTCGTCGAAAGATTAAAAATTTGTTTATAAAATTCTTTATGGGAATTGAATTTTAAGAAACATTCAATTATTCAATACATTATTTATTTTTGTATTTAAATAATTGAATTCTAGTAGAATTTTCTAATAAAAATTGATTTAAAAATGGATTTCAGTAAAATTTTTAGATTATAATTGAATATTAGAAGCATCAGAGTGTGAATTTTTAGAAATAATTAAATTTTGAAAAGGTATCGAATTAAAGTTTTTGAAAATCTGAATTTTTCATATTTTTAACTAACAATTCTGTGGAATTAATTTTTTATGAGAAAGTTTAATTGCAGATTTTTTTGAAATTATTTTAAGTTTTTTATAATATATTATATGTAATTTAAGAATTTACGAATAATTGAAATTTTGTAATATTGAATTGTAAACAAATGAATTTGTAAATTCTCAAAGAACTTTTTCAAAAATTATTAAAAATAATGGATTTATAGAAGAATTTTAGTTAAAAACACAAAAAAAAAATTAATTTTGGAAAATTTACAAATTATCGAAGAAACTAGCAAAAACTGACGCGCGCGAGCGCGCGTGCATTTTTTTTCATCGTTTTATTTTAAATAATTAAAACTTTATTTTTTCAGCGAATTTGAACCATTATGATGTCACAATTTTTTAGCAAATGCTGTGAAGAAATTGTGACGTCATTATGGTTCAAATGCCATTAAAGAAATTATTTCATCTTCTATTAATTAATATATTTTTGCATTTTCTTTTTTTATATAAATAAATTAAAATTTTTATTTATTAATTGAAAATATCTGTTCGCAGTTTATATTTTTTTTTTGTTTAATATTTTAATAATTTTATGTTTTAATATATGGGGCATTCCACGCCAAGTCGGACACCTTTTGACTTTTGCATCTCCGATTTTTTTCAAATATTTTTTTTCTTTTAGTGCTGGTTGAAAGGAACTTCCATGATTTTTTTCAAATTTTTTCATGAAGTAATTTAAGAGATCTGGGTTTTTGAAAAATCACGTTTTTTACATAAATTTTTTTTTTAAATGCTTATAACTCGGACAAAAATTGATCAAATTGGACGTTCGATATATGAAAATTTTTGTTTTTACACGTAGTTTTTGATAAAAATATTAAAAAAAAATTTTTTTTTAATTTACCAAAAAAATTTTAAATTTTAAAAATAAAATTTAATTTTTAAGAATGTATGTATCGATCGATTTTTTTTAAAATTTTTTGTAAGAAACTGGTACTAAATTAAGAATTTTTAATCCTTGTCTGATTGTGGGCAAACGATGGGATCTATTTATTTTGAAATTTTTAATTTTTGTAAAACGGTAGGTAGCCAAATGCCTAACTTGCAATTTGATCAAATCACTTTTTTAAACAGTAAGAAGGTTAAGTTCGGAGAGACTCAGTCTGAAAACAGTTTTGGTTTGAAAAATTTGCGTGATTTGGTCAAATGTCAAGTTACGCATTTGGCTACCTACCGTTTTCACTGCGTATACAAAAATTAAAAATTACAAAATAAATAGATCCCATCGTTTGCCCACAATCAGACAAGGATTAAAAATTCTTAATTTAGTACCAGTTTCTTACAAAAAATTTTGAAAAAAATCGATCGATACATACATTCTTAAAAATTAAATTTTATTTTTAAAATTTAAAATTTTTTTGGTAAATTAAAAAAAAATTTTTTTTTAATATTTTTATCAAAAACTACGTGTAAAAACAAAAATTTTCATATATCGAACGTCCAATTTGATCAATTTTTGTCCGAGTTATAAGCATTTAAAAAAAAAATTTATGTAAAAAACGTGATTTTTCAAAAACCCAGATCTCTTAAATTACTTCATGAAAAAATTTGAAAAAAATCATGGAAGTTCCTTTCAACCAGCACTAAAAGAAAAAAAATATTTGAAAAAAATCGGAGATGCAAAAGTCAACAGGTGTCCGACTTGGCGTGGAATGCCCCATATATATAAATATATTTTTTCTATTAAAATAGCAATTCTTTAAAATGATTATTATTATTTTTAAGGGTATTTTAATTATTATTATGACGTTATAATGTTTTAAATAAATTTAAAAAATGGAAATGCTGGAAAGAATGAAAAATACATTTTTTTTAGAAATATAAAATTATTCAATTAACATCTTCTATCTTTATATCTTCTCTCTATATTAATATCTTCTTCTTCTTCTATCTTCTTTGATTTAGTTGTAATTTACTTTTTTGTTTCCTATCTTCTTTAATAATTTTATGTTTCAATATTTTTAATTTTAATTAAAATTAATATATTGAATTTCATTTAAATTCTTGCAAAAAATTTGAGAATCATTGAATTTCTTCAAAAAATGTCATTATTTATGAAAATAATTCAATTTTCGCTAAAAATCATTAAATCAATTTTGGAAACCCTAATTAAATTTTTCTGAAGAATTATTTTTTATTTTTTGTTTAATAATTGTGTTTCTTTAATAATTTTAATTGGATATTTTTAAAGTAATTTAAATTTATGAACAATTTTTTTCAAGTTTTTAAAACTAATTTTTAAATTTGTAAATTTAGTTGAAACATCTATTGTTTACATTTATCCCTTGTTTACAATTACCCCAAATGGCCCTAATTGTAAATTGATTGTTTTGTTGATTTTTGAATTTTATTTCGGAATAATTCAATTTTTTATTATGTATTTTTCATGATTTGAAGACTTTATATAGTCTTTAAAAGACTTGATAGTATTTAAATAGTTGAAATGAAAGGCGGTGCCTAAAGTATTTTTTTTAAGTTCATTATTTTTTTTTCTTTTTAGAAAATCTATTTTCTATAATATTGTGTTAAAAAAAACGTTAACATTTTATATTTTATTTGAACAGAAGATAACGATAAGTTTAATTCTTGCAAAAGAAAGCACTTATAAGTTAATTCTACACACAAACACACACAGAAATACGTTTATTTTTTACGTAAGTGCCAATAAATTAATTTCAATTTTTTATTTAAAATGAAATAATTTAATTTTGAATTAATTGTATTTTTGATATTTGAATAATTAATTATTATTTTGAACAATTACATTTTTCAATGATTTCAAAATAATTAAATTTTTATTAAAAACAGAATAATTTATTTTTGAATTAATTAAAATTGTTTGATTTATTTTTGAATAATTAATAATTGACTTTTGAATTATTTAAAATTCAAATATTGTAAAAAATTAATAAAATATTTAAAAAAACAATTTATTTTTAACATAATAAAAAAAGTAATTTATTAAAATACTAAATTCAAATAGATTTTGAATTGCAATTATTTTTAAAAATAAATAAATTTTTTGTGTAAAATCATTTTTTTAAAATTAATTAAAATTTGAAACAATTGAATTTTTTTTTTTCATTTTTGAAAAATTAATTATTTCGAACAATTTTTTAAACATAAAAGAACCAGGAGCTATTATCACTCATAATAGCAATCAAAAAAAGCACACACTAAAGGGATCGCTCTTCCCAAAAAATTTAGACTCTAGATCCTGCACTGTATAAGTTAATAATTGAAGATTAATTAAATTTTTGAAAAATTAAATATTAAAAAATTAATTATTTTGAATAATTAATATTATTGAATAGTAATTTACGAAAACGACCAATGTAATAAAATTTAGAACGATATTTTTTATTGATTCAGGAAAATTGAATTTTTTAATTAAAATTAATAATCGTTGAAAATTAAAAATAATACAACTTTTATTGACAATTCGATATTTCAGTTTTTTTAGATTTTAAAAATGCATAAAATTTTCAATAATAATAATAAATCAAAATACAATAAAAATTATCAATTATAATTATAAATAAAAAAAAATAATAATAATAATAATAATAAGATATACGAATAAAATTTGTTTTTTAGTTATTTTGAGATTTTTATTTAACAAAATAAAATGAAATAATATAAATGATTTAATTAAGAAGAAAATTTTAATTAATAATTAGAATTTACCAATCTACAGTTTTTTTTCCACTGAAAACGGTAACCTCTCGCCTGATACCAGATATTTTTCCACGATTTTTCAAACACAATAATTCTTGTCACAATTTAACGTTTTTTAAAAACACCCGCACTACCGCATAACATAACATCGGAAATGTCAAAACATCACGAAAAATATAAACAAACAAAAAAATCATGATAATAATTCGCAAATGATAACTAACAACTAACTTCATACTGCGAACGGACAGAATGAAAAACCACAGACTTTAATAAAGTTAATTAATAATCAATTACTTTCAAAAGTAATAATATTCTTTACAAAAATTAAATATCGCAGAATTTCAATTATTTTTTATACAATTTTAATTGAATTTCTCGAAGAATGTAATTATTCTTAAAATTTTTTATTAAAATTAGTCAAAAAGTTTTAATTATTTAAAAATTTGTTGTTATGTGCGAATTGCAGTGTTTCATCTATTATTATTATAGAAATTAAAAAAAAATTTTAATTTCAAATATTAATTTCAATTCTGGAATAATTTCAGATTCAAAATTATATAAAATCAATTATTATCAAATTTACTAATTAATTATTAGTATTTATTGTTTTCAAAAACTTTAATAAAATTTTTCGCAGGAATTCTATATTCTCAACACAAATTCAAAAAAATTTCTCAAAAAAATCCAATTATTTTAAAAAATTTTGATTAAATTCTTTATGAAAATTGAAATCTGTCAATACAATTTTAATTAAATTCCTCGAAGCAATTAAATTATTTTCGAAAATTTTAATAAAATTAATGATAAGAATGAAATTATTTACAAAAGTAATAAAATTCTTGGCAGACATTTAATTTTTTTTATAAATAAAAATATTTTTTGCACGAATTCATAATTTATCTTTATAAATAATAAAATTCTTCTTCCAAATTTATTTATTTTCAAAAATTTTAATGATGAATATCAATGATTTTCAATAAAATAAATCTACTATTTTAATAGAAATCTACAGAAACATTTAATTATTTTCATAATTAATAAAAATGTCACAGGAATTCAATTATTTACAAATTTTTTATAAATTTCTTCGCAATAAACATTTTATAGCTTATGAAAAATTGAATTTATAGTTTTAAGTAAAATGTTCTCTTATTTGACTCGGACTGATTATATTTTTGTACGTAATGGTCCGTAATTTTTCATTTTTGTTCCGTAAAGTCCGTATTTTAAAATACTTTCACTGCTTCGAGCCCTGAATTTATCAACAAAAAAAATCTATTGTGAGAAACTTGATAATGTCATAAATCTTCGAAGATCTTGATGAATTAGATTCTTACTTTTTCCAGATTTACAAAAAAGGAATTTGAATTTCTTTTTCTTTGAAAAGCGCTCTGGTGGAAATTTACTTGTCCAATTTCCACCAATCAGCGATCAACGTTTACGCGCGGTGGCGAAAAATTGTACTAAATAGGTAAAATGGCGTCAAAACCACGTGCTCTCATAAAAGTTATTGAAGAAAAAGGAGTTTGTGTGGAAAATAAGAGAAAGAAAATAGAAAAAATTACCTTCTCGTGATAGATCGATTTTCTGGGGAATGATCCTCGCTGTCGACGCCGGTGGTGTCATTGAAAGTCCGTGAAGGTGTTGAGTCTAAACTATCGGGTGAAAGAGAAATGACACTGCTGGGCTTCCTGGGGAGTTTGGCCTCCAATTCCTCGAAGATGTCGGAATTCCTCGAGAGTCTACTCGAGGATTTCCTTAAAATTGAAACATTTTTCGATTCAACTGGCGAACTGGCATTACTACTACTGACTCCACTGCTAATCAGCTCAAGACTGTCGAGGGTGTCCGAACTCTCGTTTATCGTCGGCGGAATATTGCTCGAGATGATGCCATTTTGAACGGCATTTCTCTTCGGCGGTCTTCTGTTCTTCGGTCGGACCGATATCCTGTGATGAGCGGCCGTGTGATTCAAACTAGCAGTCTCCAGTTGTGCTGTAAGTTATTTCAATTGTTATTTTCTTTTCTACTTGGAAATATTATTTTATTTTCTACTTAAAAATATTACATATATTTCAATTAATATTTTATTTTCTACTTGAAAATATTACACTTTTAAGGATTTAAGCGAAAAAATTTTAGGTTATGTTTGTGTATTTTCTTAAATAAAAATTTTTTTTTTTGGAATTCAATTATTTTCAAGAATAATAAATCTTATCGCAGAATTTCAATTATTTGTAATACAATTTTAATCGAATTGCCCGAAAAATCTAATTAATCTTAAAAGTTTTATTAAAATTCGTAGAAAAAATGCAATTATTTAAAAATTTGACGATAAAATACTTTATGAGAATTCAATTTTTAGAAATATTCAATTATAGTAAATTATTTGTTTTTGTATTTAAATTATTGAACTCTCGTAAAATTTTCTAATAAAAAATTATTTAAAAATTAATTTTAGTTAAAAAATTCTCCAAAGTTTAATTATTTTCAAAAATTCTAATAAAATTTTTGGCAAAATTGCAATATTTTGAATTTATTATAAATATTTCACTTATTATTATTATGCAAGTTAAATAAAATTTTTAATTTCGATTCTGGACTAATTTAAAGAATTCAAATATTAAATAAATTAAAGAATTCAAATATTAACAAATTTACTAATTAAGTAATTAATAATTTAATACAATTTTTCGCATGAATTCAATTATTATTCTCAAGACAACTTCAATAAAATTTCTCAATAGAGTTTAATAAATTAAAAAAGTTTTTTGATTAAATTCTTTATAAGAATTGAAATATTTCAATACAATTTTAATTAAATTCCTCGAAAGAATCCAATCAATTTCGAAAATTTTAATAAATTTCTTGATAAGAATTCAATTATTTACAAAAGTAATGAAATTCTTGGCAGACATTTAATTATTTTTATAAATAAAAATATTTTTGCAGAAATTAATAATAATTTATTTTTATAAAGAATAAAATTCTTCTTCGAAATTTAATTATTTTCAAAATTTTTCCTCAATTCAATGATTTTTAATAAAAAAACTCTATTTTAATCACATTCTATAGCGTGAATAACATAATGAATTGAAATGATCAGGGAAAACCAAAATTTATTTTTTGCGGCAACCCTGAATTTGAAATAATTTATATTTACTATTTTATATTAAATAATTTATGAAATAGTAAATAATAAATGGAATAATAATTAATTATATAAATATTATTAAATCTAATTATCTTTCTTATTTTACATTTTTCTCCTGTATGCCTCTTATGGACTTGAAGGGGGCAATTTCATAATTACGATGCATTTTATTTATTTCTCGCAATATTTTATATTAATATTATTACGAAATAGGAAAAGAGAATTAATTAAATAAGTTAATTAAATAATAATTAATAAGTGAATTAATTTCACTTACGTAAATCCTCCTTTTGCGTCGAGGCAATTCGTTCAGTGGAATCTTTTATCGTTCTTGTTACCTGGAAAGAGAGAAATTATTTTTCATTAATTAAAAATATAATATCGGGTGCAAAGCACTAAATATGATTATGATAGTTAAAAAAAATAATTATATTAAGAAAAAAAAAAGAGTTAAATATTGTGATAGGTGTACATATGATTTCCTCTGCCTGGGAATTTTTATATAAACCGTTTTAAAATATTATTCTAATCAATTTTACAATCAAGTTGAAAAATTAAAATATAAAATAGACTTTCTTAAACAGGAAATCACTGTCATATCCGTAGAGCGCTATCCTCATTCATCTACTTAAAAGATTTCTATTCGCAATAGTAGGACATATTATGTCTATTTTGAGAACTGTAATAAAATATGAGAAATGCTCGAAAGAAGCGAAATTTCGAAAAAGAAGAATTTTTTCTAGATAATTATTTTTTCGAAACAATTTTTTCTACAGAACTATTTTTTCTATAAATATTTTTTACTAGATAATTATTTTATCTAAATTATTTTTTCTACAGAATTATTTTTTCTATAAATATTTTTTTCGAGATAATAATTTTATCTAAATTATTTTATTTAAATAATTTATTTTTCTGAAAGTTATTTTCTCTAATGCCTTTTTCGAAATTCGGTCAAAATAAATTTCTTACTGATTGATAAGAATTTTTTTCACTATTGTAAATTTTAATTCGAATCACAGATGAAAAAGCGAACGATACTTTTCGCAGTGTCATATATAAATCTTTTTTCCATTTGGAGGGAAAAAAATGAGGAATGTTTTTGAAATAACTGTAACCGTAACGTTGGTAATTAATTGTAAGATAACGAGACATTCTAATGATTTTAGGATGGGGAATCATAAATAGCAAAGATTATAAATTAGCCGCCGGTTGTTGAGTATATAGAAATTATCATGACACTGTGAATGGATTCCTATTTGCTGTTCTTCTCGATGCTATCTGCTTTTCCTGTCATCGCATTCAAGTATATGATATTGTCCCTGGAATATCGCGAACGTTGTGCACGTTAATTCTAACGGTATGGGATCTGTCAAGTTGCCAAGTGCTATCGCTTATGTATACCATTCGTAAAACCGGTTGCAGGTGCCAATGTTTATTTTTTTTGTCCCCTTTCCCCCCGCCCACATTTTGTCAATTTTCGAAGACAATCGGTTAATATTTTTTCCATTATTCGCATTTTTACATTTTTTTTTCTAATTCAAGTTTCAATTTGAATTTCAATTCAAATATTAATTTATTTAGTGGAAAAAATAATTGCAAGATTCTAAAAAATTGAAGATCGGAAAAATATCGAAAATTAAAATCCGTTTAAATTAATTTCTAAACTCTCTGAATTTGATTATAAATAATTATAGAGTTCAGGAAAAAGTCAGGGAAAGTAGAATTAGTTCAGGGAAGTCAGGAAAAAATCAGAGATTTTTATTAAAAGTACTAAAAAAATGTAATTCTTAGAATTCATAAGAAAATTCTGAATTTTGCTGCCTTTTTTGTTTGTCTCATAAAATTACCATGAATTCTCATACAAAACCTTCTCGTCAAAATTTAAATTATCTTTGTAAATAATAAAATTTATGGCAAAATTTCAATTATTTTCAAAAATTTTTCCTGAATTCAATGATTTTCAATATCTACAGTTTTAATAAAATAAAATAAATAAAATCAATTATTTACAAATTTTTCATAAATTTCTTCACAGTAATTCAATTATTTTCGTAAGCAATAAAATTTTTTGTCGTGAATATATTTATTTTCATAAATAATAAAATTTTTTTTAAAATTGCAATTATTTTCATAAATAATAAAACTTATCGCAGAATTTCAATTATTTATAAAAAAATTTTAATCGAATTCAATTATTTAAGAATTTGACGATAAAATACTTTATGAGAATTCAATTTTCAGAAATATTCAATTATAGTAAATTATTTATTTTTGTATTTAAATAATTGAATTCTCGTAGAATTTTTTAATAAAAATTGTTTTAAAAATGAATTTTAGTTAAAAAATTCTTCTCCAAAATTCAATTATTTTCAAAAATTTTAATAAAATTTTAGGCAAAATTTCAATTAATTTCATAAATAATAAAAATTTTACAGAAATTGGAATATTTAAAAAAAAAAATTTTTGCAATAATTTAATTATTTTTATAACTAATAAATTTTTTACAGGGAATCAATTATTTTCATAAATAATAAAATACTTTAAATAAATTCAATATTTTGAGAAGAATTTTAATATTATTCTTCGCAGAAATTCAATTCTTTATATCAATAATAGAACTTTCACAGGAATCTATTAATTTAAACTACAACTTTCATAAAATTTAAGGAACAAAAATAAATTTTAAAAAAATTTTTATAAAATTCTTTAAAAAATTTTATTATTTTCATAAAAAATAATAAAATTTTTCGCAGAGAATTTCAATTATTTTTAATAAAATTGAATTTTTAAAAAATTTGTAGTCTAAATTCTTCATGAGAATTTAATTTTAAGAAACATTCAATTATTCAATAAATTATTTATTTTTTTATTTAAATAAATTTAATTCTCGTAGAATATTCTAATAAAAATTAATTTAAAAATGTATTCCAGTTAGAAAATTATCCAAAATTTAATTATTTTCAAAAATTTTAATAAAATTTTTTATCAAAATTTCAATTACTTTCATAAATAATAAAAATTTTACAGAAATTGGTATTTTTAGAAAAAAATTTTTGCAATTATTTGATTATTTTCATAATTAATAAATTTTTTTACAGGGAATCAATTATTTTCATGAATAATAAAATTTTTCGCGGGAATTCAATATTTTGAGATGAATTTTAATATTTTTCTTCGCAGAAATTCAATTCTTTACATCAATAATAGAACTTTCATAGGGATCTATTAATTTAAACTACAATTTTCATAAAATTTAAGGAACAAAAATAAGTTTAAAAAATTTTTTTATAAAATTCTTTAAAAAATTTTATTATTTTCATGAAAAATAATAAAACTTTTCGCAGAATTTTAATTATTTTTAATAAAATTGAATTTTTAAAAAATTTGTTGTTTAAATTCTTCATGAGAATTCAATTTGAAGAAACATTTAATTATTCAATAAATTATTTACTTTTTTATTTAAATAATTGAATTTTCGTAGAATATTCTAATAAAAATTGATTTAAAAATGAACTTTAGTTAAAATTTTAGATAATAATTGAAAATTAAAAAAATTATAGCGTGAATTTTTAGAAATAATTGAATTTTGAAAAAGTTTCATATTAAAATCTTTAAAAATCTGAATTTTTCATACTTTTAACTAATATTTTTGTCAGGTGTAGAATTTTTTTTTATTGAAATGTTTAATTGATTTTTTAAAAAGTATTTCAAGTTTTTATTTTCTAATATATATTTATCTAAAGAATTTCTGAATAATCGAAATTTTAATAAAATTGAATTGTAAACAAATGCACGGAGAAAAAGGAATTGTTAAATCTACTAATTAATTGTTAATATAGAACTAGCAAATCTGATTTGTTGTTGAAACAGTTTTTTTGTTCTCCTAACAAATCAAAATTGTTGTGATAACAATTAATTTGTTTGTAAAACAAAAAAAATTGTTGCAACAAAAAATCAGATTTGCTAGTTCTATATTAACAATTAATTAGTAGATTTAACAATTCCTTTTTCTCCGTGTGGATTTGAAAATAATTGATTTAAAAAAGAATTTTAGTTAAAAATTCTAGAAAATAATTATTGAATTGAAATGATGAAAATAAGTTTGAAGGAGTTACAGTAACAATATTCTTATAATATAAAATAATGATTATATCACTCGGTCATTTTTAATTATTATAAAAAATGAAGAAGTCGATGACTCCGAGTCGAAGACTCGGAGTTATCGATTTCTTCGTGTTTTTAATAATATTCTACTTAATTGTTGATTTTTAAAAGGTTTGAATTAGAATATTTTGAAAATATTAATTCTTATAGAAAAATAATAATGATTAAATATTTATTTAAAAAAGAAGTAATTAATGCTTTCGAATAATTTTACAATTAATGAAATTCATAAATAAATGTAATAGAATATTTTTTTGAGTATCTAATAATATTTAGAGTAATTCAGAATATTCTTTAGGGCGAATGCCTGATATTTTCTAATGAGAAAATTTACTGAATCAACATTTTTTAATTATTTTAATAGTCAAATATAATTTGGATAGAAAAATTAATTATTGATAGAAGAATTAATTTTAATAGTCAAATATTATTTTGATAGAAAAATTAATTATTGATAGAAGAATTAATTTTAATAGAAAATTGATTTTGATAGTAAAATTAATTTTGATAGAAAATTCATATTTTCTAGTTATAATGATTGCTTTCTTTTTTGCATATGGAGAAAATGAATCATATTTGCGTTTTCTAAAGAGAAAAAAAAAGAAAAAAAAAGAAAAAAAGCAAAACTCATTCTAGGAGAAAATGCATAAAATTGAAAATAGATTATTCTATTAGTATGCGCTTCTTTTTTTATTCTTCATTTGAACTCTACCTCACAATCACTTTTCCTACGACTTATCGTAGGAAGACGTTGCCTGTTCTCGGCTCTCGACCTAGTTTGAATCTCGATCCCGTTCTTCTTCACTTCACTGTAGATCTCGTAGGCGGGTTCCTTGCTGCCATAGACACCAATCGAGATCTTTGGTGGTGAACTCTTGCGGTTTTCTTCGTTTCGATTTATAAGACGTCGTCTCTCCACGGGATTGAGATTTAATTGTTCAATTATGGCTCGAATGTTTGTCGATATATTACTCTCGCGATGTGACACCACCATCATGATGAATAAATTTAGTATCTTTTTTTTCTTTTCCACTATTTACTTTTTTTGAATTTCAATTAATTTTTTTTCATTTAGATTTTTCTTCTTTATTTAAAGACACGCCGAGTAGTCGATCTTTAACAATCGACTGGCCAATTAGCCAAGCAAAACAGCTCCGAGGCTCTGTAATAAAACTCGTGTTCTCAGGATTTCTCGCACTTGAGTACTATCTTTTGCCCTCATTTTGCCACTGAATCCTCATCGCTTCCCACGTTTTGACCTCTTATACCTCGAAAATCGAGTAAAATCATTTTAAACTCAAGGTGCATTGCGAAGGAATTTATTTCATTCAAATAAACGATCTGTAGTAAATATTAGCTTTATAGAAATTTACACAATTATTTTTTTTATTGATATTAATTAAATATTTCTTATTAAATATTTGAATTTCTCTATTTTTGAATTTCGCGCCTAAAACTTCTTGAAATCGCCGCCTAGATGGCATGAAAGTTCTCTCACAAACGAAATGAAGCGAATAAAAGTACACGAATAATGGAAATGAAAATTAAATTTGAAACAAAGAGGCAAAAATAAAAATCAAATTTGAAACAAAAAAGCAGAACTGAAAATCAAATTTTGAAATGAAGACGCAAAAATAAAAATTAAATTTGAAAGAAATTTTTTTGATTTTGAAAAATAATTTTCAAATGCGATAAATGGCAAATCCGATGAAAGTAGAAATTGTTTTGTCTTTGAAAATCCGAGGAAACGGAAATTGTTTGAGATTGTAAAGATAAATTAGAAATAAATGCGGAACGCATGCAAGAGAAGCATGTCCCATAACTTTCTATTTTTTTTCGCTTGATTATTAATTACAAAATGTTTTGAATGATTTCTATGATAACTGTTTGGTATACGATATGGAAATAATTTTTACTACATACTAATTAATTGATCCACTTATGAAAGCAATATTATAGCACATTATAATTTTGATATTACAAAATTTTTAATTATAAATTATTTTCTTATTTTAATTGGAGATAATTTTTCAGGATCAATAAATATCTTCAAGATATGTAATTTCAGTCTTTTAATGAACTCTTTTCAATTTTGGTAATATTATCAGGGTTGCCATAGGTCAGGGAATTCAGGGGAAAGTCAGGGATTTTTATTAAAAGTACTGGAAAAACTTTAATTTTTAGAATTTATAAAAAAAATCTGAATTTTGGTGTCTTTTTTGTTTGCCTCATAAACTATAAAATTACCACGAATTCTAATACAAAAACTTTAATTTTTTCAATTTCTGACAATAATTTCTTTTTAAATAACTTAATTCGTGAAGAACTATCATAAAATTATTACTTAGAAATTATTTAATGAATCATTTTACTAAAAATTTCAAAATTAATTGGATTTAAAAAGAGTTGCGTTTACAAATTTCATAAATAGATGAACTTCAAAGGTTTCAATTTGAAATTTTAAGAACAACTGCTTCAGAAATTCAATTATTTTTAAAAGTGATAAACTTCTACGCATCATTTCAATTATTTTCAAAGAAATTAATAAAATTCTTAGCAAAATTTCAATTATTTTCCAAAATTTTCCTCATTTTAATTATTTTTAATATCTATTATTTTAATAAAATTTTCCAAAAGAATTCAATTATTTGAACAAAATTTTAATAAAAATTTCACAGGAATTAAATTACTTTCCAATTTCTTTTTTTATAAATTTCTTCGCACCAATTCAATTATTTTTTAATGAAGTTTCTCCAAAGAATTCAAATATATTCAGAGAATTGAAAGAATATAGTTCTGAAAAATTCAATTATTTTGAAAAATTTAAATAAAATTCTTTTAAAAATTTAATTATTTAAAAAAAATTTGACACAATTCTTTACAAGATTTAGTTAATAAAATTTTCCAATACAATTCAATCATTTTTACAAAATATAATTCATTTTTTTATGGGAATACAATTATTTAAAAAAATTTGAATAAAATTCTTCGTAAGACATCAATTATTTTCATAAATAATAAAATTTTACTCGAGAATTCAATTATTTAAGAAATTTGAATAAAATTCTTCCCAAGAATTCAATTCTTTTCAAAAATAAACATTTTCATAGGAATTCAATTATTTAAAAGAAAATTTAATAAAATTCTTCGTCAGATTTCAATTATTTTCAATTTTTTAATGAAATTTCTATAGATAGAATTTAATTAGGTATTTTTAAAAAGTTTTAAAAAATTCTGAGAAATTCAATTATTTAAAAAGTTTGAATACAATTCTTCAATTCTTCATAAAAGTGCAATTTTAAGAAATATTCCATTTTTGAATAAATTATTTATTTTTTTATTTAATTAATGAATTTAATTAATGAATATTAAAAGCATTATAGCGTGAATTTTTAAAAATAATTGAATTTTGAAAAGGGTAAATCCTTTATTAAAATCTTTGAAAATTTGAATTTACAATTTTAACAATTTTACAATTTTAGAAATTGGTAATTAATAGTAATAGAACATTTTTTTGAGTATTTAATTATTTTTGGAGTCAATCAGAATATTCTTCAGGTTCAGGGAAAAAGTCAAAATCAGTCAAGAAAAAGTCTGGAAATTAGGGAAAAGTCAGGGAAAAAGAAAATTAAATTTTTTTGGCAACCCTGATTATTTTAATTAGTCATTTTCTTAATTGGTAAATTTGTACCTAAACTCTAAAAGAAAATTATAAACTCTAAAGAAGGGAATAATTATATTTATATTTTGCCTAAGAAAATTATTTTATATTTAGTCCAAGTAAATGATTTTCTATTTAGTCCAGGTAAATTATTTTTTATTTTTTAAACGAATTACAAATTTTTATTGTAAAGAAATTATTACGAATTTTATAAATGATATGAGGAAAAGTAAAATTTGAAAATTAGGAATTCGAAAGTAAAGTTCAAAAATTACGTAAACAAATTTAAAAATGTTTTCAGTGAAACACTTTTGTCTATTATAAAAAAAACAAAAAAAAAGAGAAGCAAAAAACAAACAAAAGAATTTAGTTTTGTCACAATAGACGTTGGGTAACTTATTCCGCGGAGAGAAAACAATATCGACCTAACAGATAAAGATATGGGGTCTAAAGTTGACAGATGATATTTCTTTTATTCTTCGTGACAAACAAACAATGGAAAAGACTTCTTTTCTAAAGCATTAGATTCCTGAGCTTAGTTATATATATATATATACATTTTGCCAACATTACTTAAATTCCCTATTTCTGTATTATTTTTTTTATTCTTTTTTATTTGCGTATTTTATATACACCGCAAATGCAAAGAAACTGCGTGTAATTTAATTCCATCTCGCATGGATAAGGCATTATTTTTCTTTCTTTTTTTGAAACTCTCGAAATTTAAAAAAGGCAAAAGTAATCACGATTAATGGCCAAGAAAAATAATTCTAGTTCTGCGTTATTTAAACGTATAAACACAGCGATTGAATTGCTTTTCAAGAGAAAAAAATCTGGCTAAAAGAATCTAATTCGAGATTTGAATTTCTTTTAACTTTTTAATCAATTAAATATTTTTTAATTAATTAAATTCCATTTAATAATTTTCGTAGTGTACCAAAAAATACACAGTTTTTTTTAAAGATATCAATTTTGGGGCGAAAATAATTTAATTTGACGAAATTTAATAATTCAATTTAATTTTTTTCTTGAGATCAACTCAGAAAACAATATTTTTCAGAAAATCTTTTTTTAACTATTGTTAAAAAGATTTTCTAAAAAATATTGTTTTATACAGTTTCTATCTTTCTTTTACTTTAAATTCCTTTTTGTTTTCTTGTGGAATTGAATTATAGTAAATAAATCAAAGTATAGAGTGAAAAAAAATTGCAAAATGAGTTGAAAATTTTTTTTTTTGAATGGGGCCCGTCATTGCATAAAGTGAATGGATGGATCGATCGATCGTCCCAGGTCGTGGTTCAAACCTACGCTTACAATCGCCCACAACGATTCTGATTCTGATAAACCACCGATTTCCTTTTACATTTCATTTTCACTTAGCAATATATAATGCCACAATAGTTTATAATTTCAATTTATTTATCGCAATTAGTCTATACTAGGCAAAAATGATTTTTTCGATTTTTTTCGACTATATTTGCAAAAAATGCGACTTTTTTCGACAATTTTCAAAAAATGCAACTTTTTTCGACTTTTCTTCCAAATTTTGCAACTAAATACCACTTTTTTAGTAGAAAATGTAACTTATTTAGATGTTTATAGTGTGGTAAGTATAACTATAGATAAATCTTTGGAAAAATAGTTTTGAATAATTTTTCTAATTAAATTTTCAAAATATACAATTAAAAAATTTTGGAAAAAATAAAATTTTGTTAAATTGAATTAAAAAAAACGATTTTCTTCAAGTGTTTTATTATAATTTTTAAATATCAAATTTTGAAGAATTTTTTAATTGGTAATTTTGAAAATAATTGAATTCTCAAAAATTGTAATAAAAAGTCTTGCAGTGTAAATTTAAAAATGAAAATTAGCTTCTAAAAATTATATTAAAATATTTTTTGAAATAAAAATAATTAAAAGTAGGTACCTAAATTTTAAAATTTTTCCATTCTAATTTTTTAAAATTCAATTATTTTCAATATTTCCAATTACATATTTCTGAAAATTCAAATACACGAGTACAGAAAATAATAAAAACATTAAAAATTTGTAGAATTATTTTTAACATTTTGCAGAAAACAATCATGCTGAAAAATAATAATTAAAATTTTTCAAAAAGTTAATAACGTTTTTTTTCAATTATACAAAAATTCTTTTAAGAAATTCAATTATTTTCGAAAAATTACATTACAATATTTTTCAAAAATTAATTTTCGGAAATTGTTATAATTTTTTTAAGCTTCAATTATCTTGGAATAAGGAAAATTAAAATTTTTTCAAATTTACTTTTTTAGACTTATTAAAATTTCGGAGAAATCATTTTCATATTTATAATTAAAGTTCTTCGAAAATTTTATTATCTTTTTTATATTTTTGTAAAATTCAATTATTTTTAAAAGTTTATATCAAATTTCAATTATTTTAAAAAGATTTTACAAAATTTGAATTAATTTAACAAAATTTTGCATAAATTTAAATTGTTTTCAGAAGATTTGATCAAATTTCAATTATTTTTAAATGTTCTGTCAAATTTCAATTATTTTAAAAAGATTTTACAAAATTTGAATTATTTTAACAAAATTTTGCATAAATTTCAATTGTTTTCAAAAGATTTTACCAAATTTTAATTGTTTTCAGAAGAGTTTATCAAATTTCAATTATTTTTAAATAATTTTACAAA